TCTGTTTTGAGTCTCTGCTTTCATTTTCTGTTTAGTTTTTTGAGGAGCTGCTATATTATTTTCCACAGCATCTTTATTTCTTTTCTTTTTGGTTTTGTTTTGTTTTTTGAGACAAGGTTTCACTATGTAGTAGACTGGCTTTGAATTTACCATATTACCCAGGCTGGCCTTGAACTCAACAGCCCTGCCTGCCTTGGCCTTCTGAGTGCTGGAAATCACAGTTGTGCACCATCACATTTTTTTATTTTGTTATTTTTTATTTTTTACTTTTTGTCTGTTTGACACAGGGCTCTAAGCAGTTCAGGCTGACCTTGAATTCACTTTGTAGCCCAGGCTGGTCTCAAACTTGCAACAATCTTCCTGCCTCAATCTCCTACGCGCTGAGATATCTTAAGGCTTCCCAAATGTCTAATAACCTTGAGTATTATCATATAATATGCACATTTTTGCCATATGTGTATCTTTGGAGAAGCGCTTATTCAAATTGTCTGTTTTTGAGTTAAGTTGTCTTTTTGTTGTTCATCTGTATAAGTTCTTTATATTTTGAATATGAACCTATTGTTAAGTGTAGAACTTAGAAATATGTTCTCTCTATGTTACTTGTGCACATTGTGGTTTATATGTGTCTCACACACAAACACACACACACTCACACACACTCACACACCATACTGGGGATTGAATCCAGGGCCTATCCACTAAAGTATATCCATCCCCAGCCCTTTTTCTTTTTTTTTCTTTTGAGACGGGTTCTCAATAATTTGTTATATTGCCCAGGCTGGGCTCAGATTTGCCATGCTTCTGTTTCGGCCTCCTAGACTGCTGAAATTAGAGGCATGTGCCACCGTGTGCAGTTTTTAAAAATTCTTATCAGGCAGTCGTGAGTTCGATCTTTGGAACCAATAAAAAGGAAAAAGACCAAAAAAATTCTTTATTTTTCTTTAATTTTTGAAAATATTTTCATTGGTATATTAGTCAGTTTTTCATGACTACAATGAAATACCTGAGGTGAAGTAACTTTTTTTTTTTTTTTTTTTTTGGTCTTTTTCTTTTTTTTTTTTTTTTTTGCCTTTTTTGTTTTTACCGGTACTGGGGATCGAACTCACGACTGCCTGCTTGCAAGGCAGGCACTTATGCCGCTGAGCTAAATCCCCAGCCCCTATGTCTTTTTCTTTTTTATCAGTACCAGGATCGAACTCAGGACTGCCTGCTTGCAAGTCAGGCGCTTATGCCGCTGAGCTAAATCCCTAGCCCCGAGGTGAAGTAACTTTATAAATAAAGGATGTTTATTTAGTCCTCAGTTTTGGAAGTTCAAGGGCATTGTCCCTGCATCAGCTCAGCTCTGGTGAGGACCTCATGTTAGATGGTATTACAGAGGTAAAACACATGTGAAAGGGAAAAATCACATGGCTAGACAGGAAACCAGAGAATAGTTCAGCAGTCAGGCTCATGCTGATATAAGAACTCATTATTAGCAAGGTATGTTGGTACATACCTGTGATCCTCACACTCTGGGAGACTGAAGCAGGATTGCAAGTTCAGGCTCAACCTCCTCAACTTAGTGCAACTTTGTCTCAAAATAAAAAAGTTCTGGAGATGTAGCTCTGGGAAAGCCCTGGGTTCAATCCCTAGTACTAGATGGTGGTGGGAAAGGACACAATTTATAGGAAGTTATGTGCTGCTCATTTGGTCAGTTTCATCAGTTTAAAATTATTTTAAAATTTTGTTAGTAGCCTTTTCTTAGTTCAGTCCCGCTATTAAGTCATGGCTTTCTAAGGTCTACACTGAATGCCCACAGGATTGGTGTGGAATCTCCATTCTGGGTCACCAAATGTCTCCCTAACCTCCTGTGAGCTTTGAAATAGTTTAACTTTTACTTTTTCAGTTGCTCTTAGCCTGACGTGTGAAGTTTCATCCTGCTTAGGTGCATCCTTAATCTTCAGTAAAGAATTAGGGAATTCCAAGCAGATATTTTTTATTGTTGGTAGTGCTCAACTCAGGCTCTTAAGCAGCTTTTTTTCTGTATATATTCCTCCCCTTTAGAATTGATTCTTAAAATTCATAACTACTCAGTCTCCTTGAACTAGTGGTCTCCATCTTCAACTTTTTTTTATCGGTACCGAGGATTGAACTCACGACTACCTGCTTGCAAGGCAGGCACTTATGCTGCTGAGCTAAATCCCCAGCCCCTCATCTTCAACTTTTTATACTTTATGTAATACCCTATTTCCCACATTAGAATGTGCCTCCAGTGAGATAAGTAGAGCTCATTTCAGTTTTTGCTGGCATCACAGTTCTGTACTGTCTTTTGTCTGTGTCTGAATCAGTTTACAATAGATGGATAAATTTGATCCCTATTATCCCTTCTAGAAACAGAAGTTAAAGCTATGTTAATATCCAACAAAATGAGACAAAGCATTTTTTTAAGAGCAGAATATATTTATTGAGAGAAAGAAAGCCTCTGTCTGAGAGAGACCGAAGGGGTCCTGAATGCGTTGCCCAAGAAAGTTTTTTTGATTTGAGGGTGGGGTTTTTTGTTTGTTTGTTTGTTTGAGACAGGGTCTTACTGTGCAGTTCAATCTAGCCTTGAGCTCAGTTTGCAACCCAAGCTGGTTTCAAACTCACAATGATCCTCCTACTTGAGTCTCCCAAGTGCTGGATTACAAGTGTGTGCCATCATGCGCCACAAAGTGTTTTTAAAGAATAATTTGAGTCACTTTTTTTATTTTGTTTTGTTTGTGGGTTTTTTTTTGTTTTGTTTTTTGTACTCATAACCCCTAGCTCTTGCCAGGCAGGTGCTTATGCCACTGAGCTAAATTCCCTGAGTTACCTTTTTTTTTTTAAGACAGGAAATTACTGTACATTTGAGGCTGGCTTTGAGCTCATTATATACCCTAGGCTGTGCTACTACTTCTGGCTAACTCATTTTATTTTAATAAACTGATAAAGTTGTCATCAAGATATTATAGTTCTAAAGTGTTCAGCTCTAATGAAATAGTGTTAAAAATATATAAAGCATCTGGGCATGGTGGCAAATGCCTGAAATCCCAGCACTCTGGGAGTCTGAAGTAGGAGGATCACTACTAGTTCAAGGCCAGTGTGGACTATATAGTAAGACCCTGTCTCAAAAACAAGCAAATGAGCAAAATATATCAAAATATTAAAACTTGAGAAAAAATAAACCTTCAGAGTGAAATGAATATATTCAGTATTGATTAGTGCATTCCTGATTTTAATTAGAAAAAGACAAGTACAAAGTACATAGAAATCATAAATCATACAGTAGAGAGTATCAACAAACCCAAAAGTTAGCAAAACTTTAAAATGATAATTGATAAATATCTGAAAATTCTCAACAAAAGAGGACACGAATAGGAATAAAAAAGAACATAAACACAGATAACTAAATTTTTTGTGTGTTTTTTTTTTTTCTTTGTGTTTTTTTGAGACAGGATCTTGCTATGTGGCTCAGATTGGCTTTGAATCTCATTCTTCCTGTCTCAGCCTCTGCAGTGCTAGAATTACAAGCATGCACTACCACACCCAGCATAAACTGATTTTTTTAAACAACATGAACAGAGCTGGATGTGGTAGATCATACCTTTAACCCCAGTATTCTGGGAGGCTGAGGCTAAAGAATTGCAAGTTCAAGTCCAGCATGGGCAATTCAGTCAGGCTTATCTCAGAATTTAAAAAGCTGGATTCAATCCACAGTACTACCCAAAAAGAAAAAAAGAAAGAAAAAGAAACAAGAACACGGACAGCTTAGGTACAGTGATACTTACCTATAGTTCCAGCTACTAGAGAGGCTGAGGCTGGAAGATCACTTGAGCCCAAGAGTTCAAGTTCAGTTTGGGACAGAGCAATGAGATGCTGTCTCGAAACAGCATGTGAACAATTTATGCTAATATAGTTTAAAACAAAAGAGACAAATTCCTAGGACAGCATAATTTACTAATACTGAAGTAGGAAGACTGGCTAGCTTTACAGCCATTAAATATATTGAATCTGTAGTAAAAAATACTCCTGTAAAGAAAATACCTGCCCTGCTAGGTGTGGTGGCATATGCTTGTAATTCTTGGGAAGCTGAGGCACAAGAATTACAATTTTGAGGCCAATTTGGGTAATTTAATGAGAGCTTGTTTCAAAATTTAAAATAAAATGGGCTGGGATTATACTACATATCCTGGGTTCAATTCCGAGTACCAACTGCTACCCCACCAAAAAAAAATTAGAAAAAAGAATAACAAGAAAACACCAGTCCTAAATGGTTTAATAGATAAATTCTACCACTACCACTCTTATACTGAGGATTGAAATGAGCTACATCACCAGGCCTTTTTGAGACAAGGTCTTCCTGAGTTGCTAAGTTGCCCAGGCTGGGCTTGAACTTGGAATCTTCTGGCCTCAGTGTCCCAAAGTGCTTAGGATTATAGAGGTCTGTGTCACCGTAGTGGCTTTACATTTTCAATAAGTGAGTTATTTTACTTTTGCTTCCAGAGAATGACGGGGGAAGAAAAACTGTTTTCATAACCAAAGAAAGATAATATAAGAAAGTTCTATATTTTTCCTATTCTAGTTATGAACAGGAATACAAAAGTTCTAATAATATTAAGAAATATATCTAGCAGAATACAAAAATATACAATTCATCCTAAATTGAGTTTATCCTAGGACACTAGGGTTGATTTTCTATTATAAAATTTACAGATACAGTCATGATGCATTTTTAGAAGAAAAACTATATATCAAGAGATGCAGGACAGAAAATTAAATAATGTTGAACAGCTTCATTTTAATAACTCATACCAAATCATGTGTGTTGTGTGGAGTTACAAGAAATGTTAGATACAGTTACTGGGATTACTGGGCCTCCTGGAGAACCTAGGGTCCCCCTGGTATAGGGAAAATACAGGCCATGGATAAGAACAGAAGTGCAATGAAAAGGAAGTACTGCCTTCTGGAGAGTCTTTAACAGTTTGTATCTTGCCTTTTTCTAGAGACCATGGCGAGCCCAGGGAAAGACAATTATCGAATGAAGAGCTATAAGAACAATGCCCTAAACCCTGAAGAAATGAGGCGAAGAAGAGAGGAAGAGGGCATTCAGCTCCGAAAGCAGAAACGAGAGCAACAAGTGAGTTGCTGAGTATTCTCAAAACGTACCATTCAAGGAAACAATTCAGCCTCTTTTGTCATCCTTCACCTTGCTCACTGACCTTTCCTTTAGGAAAGTTTAGCTTAGCTACTTGGTGGCCAGTCATCCAATTTCCTTTTGTAAAGAAATGTTAGAGGGACTGGGGATTTAGTTGAGTGGCATAAGCACCTGCCCAGCAAGCACAAAGTCAGGAGTTCAATCCTTGGTACCAAAAAAAAAAATAGAAAGAAAGAATGGAAGGAAATATTAGAAGATTTAAGAAAAGCAGAGGTAATTCTTTCTCCTCTTTCTATAAATTTGCCAATTCAGACATCATTTACATCTTTAATACAACATTTTACAGTAGTTCTAACTCGTCATGCCCTTGCCCTCATCGCATTGGACTCAGTATTAGGCTTTCAAGGTCTAGCTGCAGGCCTGGACTCTTAGGAGGCTTATTAACCATTCTGAGCTGCCTCCTACTATTTATTTTTTTTGAGTCTGCTTTGCAGGTATTCCTAGGACTGAAACTGTACTAGTGTGACACCACCCCCACTATACTCACCCCTTTCCAACCCAAATGGATACTGCCCATATCTAGGCTCGATTACCCATTGTGCCTTTGCCTGTTCTCTTAATAATATACCATCAGTCTTCCAGAGCCTTCTTAGCCGTATTTTTTTACACAAAGGACTAAGAAATTTTAAGTTTTTTCCTTATAAAAAATGTTCTTAAAAGGTGTGAACAATCAAGCAGGGCATGGTGGCTCATGCCTGTAATCCCAGCACTTGGGATGCAGGAGGATCCTTGTAAGTTCGAGACCAGCCTAGGCTACAAAGTGAGCTCAAGGCCAGCCTGAACTGCATAGCAAGACCCTGTCTCAAAAAGACAAAAAATAAATAAAGATGTGAACAATCATATAACATAGAAAGTAAAGTCATTGAATGCCTTTCCATGTCAGTACTATGAAGCTTTGCCTTCCTTTCTCAATTATCCTAGCTCAGTGATAGTAAACCTTTTAGAGTCTTTAGTGATACAAAGATCCCACTGTGGCATGCATACCATAGGTTCACCATCACTGTCTAGCCTATCTTTGTCTGTTAGGCCATAGTTATCACTGGATTCTTTGTTTCTTTTGGTTCATTGAGTATTCCTGTCATTGTGTTCTTACTTTACTTTCAGCTTTTTAAAAGAAGAAATGTGGAACTGATTAATGAAGAAGCTGCCATGTTTGATAGTCTCCTCATGGACTCTTACGTGAGCTCTACTACTGGGGTAAGGCCCTTGCCTGAGGCAGGCCTGCTTCTATAGAACATAAATTGGATAATTCATGACATCTAGTACTTTTGCCAGTAATGCTAAGCTTTTTCTTCTGTGGGTCCTTTTATAGATGGTCAGCTTAAAGAGTCAACAATGATCCTCTCTTGATGGAAATTTATTTGAGGAAACATTTAAGGGAAACATCAGTTAGTCAGAGATTAGGAAGTACTATTGAATGTCTGAACTTGAATCGAGCATAGATTAAATAAACCCCTTCTAGCCTGTTTCTTATGCCATCCTCTTTTCCTAAAGTCTTAGAAAGCAAGACAATGTGCTCACATTTGGCTACAATGTTAGTTTGCAAAGTTCTAAACCTGTTTTACATTCTAGGAGAGTGTGATCACAAGAGAGATGGTGGAGATGCTCTTTTCTGATGATTGTGACTTGCAGTTAGCAACCACACAGAAATTTCGGAAACTGCTCTCCAAAGGTACAAAGTTTGAGCTCTCTCAGAGATGCTGCATGTGATTTAGTCTCTTGTTTCTCATCACTGACTTCATCACCTTCTTTCTGAGTTGAATGTGCAAATGCAGAATCCTGAATACAGAGGGCTAGCTGTACTTACTACTTTCTATCAATAGAATTTCTCTCCCTACTTCGTTATAAACTTAACAAAGGGCAGAGACTTTGGTTTTGTTCACGGTGGCATCTTCAATACCTTGAACTGGGGACACATAGTAATTACAGAAATTGGGATTGGGCATTGTGGCAACGTGCCTGTAATCTCAGCACTTGGGAGATTGAGGCAAGAGGATTCCTGTGAGTTTGAGGCTAGCCTGGGCCTACAAAATGAGTTCAAGACCAGTCTGAATTGCAAAACCCTGTCTCAAAAAGACAAAAAAGAAAGAAATTGGAGACTGAGCATGGTGGCAAATGCCTATAATCCCAACACTGGAGAGGCTGAGATAGTAGGATTGTCACAAATTCAAGGCCAGCCAGGACTACATAGTGACTTCAAAGCTAGCCTAAACTACATAGCAAGACTCTGTCTCAAAAAAAAAAAAAAAAGGAAAACAAAAGAAAAATTTGGTGTATAATACAAAAATACCTCTTGCCTAGTATGGTAAACATTTTTCCCAAGAAAAAGCTACTGGTATTTTTGCTGGCGCATGGTGGTGCATACTTCTAATGCTAGCACTCAAGAGTCTGAGGCAGGAGGACCTCCTGAAGTTGTAGGCCAGCCTGGGCTGTATAGTGAGTTCAGTGCCAACCTGAACCAGATAGTGAGAGCTTATCTCAAAAAACCAAAATAGTGCTGGACATGGTGGCTCACCTGTAATCCCAGCACTCAGGAGCCTGAGGCAGGGCGATCATTTGGAGTTTTGAGAGCAGCCTAGGCTACAAAGTGAGCTCAAGGCCAGCTTGAGAGACCCTGTCTCAAAAAGACCAAAAAAAAAAAAAAAAAAGAGAAAAAAAAAAACCAAAATAGCTGAGTGTAATCCCAGCATTCCAGTCACTGAGGACAGAAGGCCTGCTGCAAGTTCAAGGCCAGCCTAAACTGAATGGCAGGTTCCTGTTTCAAAAAAAAGAAAAAGTAAAAAAGTCAGATTGTGGACTCCTCTGTAAATACAGAAACCAGAATCTCTTCTGACCTAATCTCTTTTACCTCCTTCTCTCTTTCAGAGCCTAGTCCTCCAATAGATGAAGTTATCAACACTCCAGGAGTAGTTGACCGGTTTGTGGAATTTCTGAAGAGAAATGAGAATTGTACATTACAGGTAAAGCCTGAGGGTACTAATGACCAGCTGGAAACACTTCACCCAAGAAATTTTAGCTGTTAAGAAATTCTTAGACATACCTCTCAAGAAATAGACAAGTAGCTGGGGAGTTAGCTCAATGGCATAAGCACCTGCCTGGCAAGCTCAAGGTCGTGAGTCAGATCCTCATTGCAAAAAAAAAAAAAAAGAAATAGGTAATATGAAGAAATACTTAAGGAAAGGTATCAGTTTCCTCAGTAGTCTTGACTTCAAAGAAGATATAAAGTGATGTCTTTGTTAATTAGGCATGTTTAACTGTTCCACAGAGTATGTATATACTTTAGAACACAATGTTGTAAATATTATACAGTGTTACCTGTCAAAACTCTGTGTATGTGTGTGTGTAGCTCAGTGGTAGAGCACTTGGCTAGCGTGCACAAGGCTAAGGTTTGGTCCCCAGCACTGCAAAAATAATTTTTTTGTAATGTTGAAGGAAAGATACAAGAATATGACAGGTTGACGATATCATTATAAATTAGAGTCTATTCTACTCCTTACTGTTTTGACCAAGGGAAACCGTTAGCCTCTCTAAGTCTCCCCTCAGAAATGGATGATAAATACATCTTAATTTGAATTTGCTAGAAACTTGGGTGATTAAGACTTTAAGAGGCCCCATCTCACTCTTATCTGTGTTTCAAAGTGAAGCTCAGGTTATAAAAAAATGACTCGTGATTTCTTTGGTAGTGCGGCATTAGACCTGGATTGGTGAAGATTAATTCCATCTTCCCATTGTGTCACTTCACTGCTCTTCCCACAATTTACTACAGGGAGGGGAAAAGATTTTGTTTAGTTTTGGTTTGATTGGTTGATTTCAGTACTAGGGATTGAATCCAGAATTGTGCATTCAAGCAAGCACTCTTAACCATGGAGCTACATCCCTCCACCCTCCATCCTTATTTTTTTTTTGCAGGCAGACTCTCAATAAATTGTCCAAACTGTCTCAGACTTATGATCCTGCTGCCTCAGCTTCCTAAGTAACTGAGATTGTAGACATATATCACCATGCCTAGCTGGTTTTGTTATTTACTGCTTTGTTTCTTATTGTTCTGGTTTGGTTTGGTTTGGTTTGGTTTAGTTTGGTTTGATTTGGTTTGGTTTTTGGAGAAAGGATCTCACTATGTAATCCAGGCTGGCCTTTCAATCCTCCAGCCTTAGCCTCCTAATGCTAGGTTACTAGCATGTGCCACCACACCTAGCAAGAATTTTATTGTTTGAGCCACTGATGTGACTGCTCAGTTTGGAATGACTTCTCAATCATCCCTTAATCTCACTTTCAGTTCGAAGCTGCTTGGGCTCTAACAAACATCGCCTCTGGAACCTCTCAGCAGACAAGAATTGTTATTGAAGCAGGAGCTGTCCCAATTTTTATAGAGCTGCTTAATTCAGACTTTGAGGATGTACAGGAACAGGTAATGCTCAGATTTGGCTTAATTCTTGATGGCACCGATAGTATAACAAAAAATATATTTGATCTCTGTCTCAGTTATTACCATGGTGTTCTAACGGCCCTTGGAGTCTTCTGAGTGATAAGACTGTCTTTTATTATTTATAGAGCTCCTTTGGAACACACTTGAGTCTATGTAATGAGGTGACTCAGAGCCTCTCAGTGGTCTTCAGATGAATTTGGTCATCAGATTAAATCCAGCATTAGAGAGTAGAATTCTTAGCCATGCCTCCTTAAGAAGTAAAGGAAGAGGAGCTGGAAATTAGGTTATAAAAATTCTTCTAAAAAAATAGAATTTTGGGGCTGGGGATTTAGCTCAGTGGTATAAGTGCCTGTCTGGCAAGTGTGAGGCCATGAGTTCAATCCCCAGTACCAAAAAAAAAAAAAAAAAAAAAAATAGAATTTTTACATTGATGAGCACATCTGTGTACTTGGAAGATGGCAGAGGATGTGGAAGCTCTACACAGGCACCCCTCCATCATCCATACCATGCTTTGTGTCTCTTCTGTTTGGCTGTTCCTGAGTCATATCCTTTATAATAAACCCAGTAAACTCACGTGTTGTTTTCTTGACTTCTCTGCGTCATTCCAGTTATCAAGCTGAGAGAATTGTAGGAATCTCCAGAATTACAGCTGGTCAGAAGTAAAATGGTTGTTGGGACTTGGTATTAGCGTCCAAAGTAGGGACCATGTTGTAAAACTGATCTGTGGCATCTGTGTCTCACTGTCAAAATTGAATTGATGTGCAGTTTATGTCAGAATTAGTTGTTAGTGTGGGTGGGATGATTTCTATACATTTAGTATGAAAAGTGGTGTTAGAAAAGAGGCACCACAGCCGGGCACAGTGGTGCATGCCTGTAATCCCAGCACTTGAGAGGCTGAGGCAGGAGGATCATTGCAAATTGGAGACCAACCTGGGCTAAAAAGTGAGCCCAAGATGTCACACGCCAGTAATCCGAGCACTTGGGAGGTTAAGGCCGGAAAATTGCTGTAAATTCAAGACAAACCTGGGCTACATTGTAAGTTTAAGGACAGATTTTTTCACAGTGGAAAAAAAGAGAGCAAGATAGAAAGACAGACAGATAGCATAATACTTAATTCTCAGTACCCACAGATCATAAAGTTACAAATTCTGTTTTTCTCTTTGAATTATTTCTGGTTGGACAGAAATGAAGAGTGGTAGTGGGATTGTTGCTCCATTTTTATGCATATAGTTGGTCTAAAATGGCTACCAGAATGCGATTTGGTAGGGGGCTGAACATTAGCTCAGTGGCATAAGCACCTGTCTGGCAAACACAAGGTCATGAGTTCAGTCCCCAGGAAACACCCCTCCCCCCCCCCAAAAAAAAAAAGTCAAACAAGAATGCAATTTGGTGATTTCTTTCTCCTTTTCTGGGGAAGGTAGGGATGCCAAGATGTGATTAGATTTCTCTGGCTACAGTACAGATGGCAGGCAGCCTGTTTTCCTCCATTGAACCAGAACTTCCCAGGGGAAAGTTCTTATAGAATAAGTGCTCAATAAATTTCCACAGGGGGCCAGGGATGTAGCTCAGTGGCACAGTGCCTGTCTGACAAGTGCTAGGTCTGAATTCAATTCCCAGTATCCCCCACCCAAGAGAAAAAAATTCCACAGGGAGGTTACCTGAGCTTGTTTAGTGTGTTTTGAGCCGTGACATGGCTCTCAGTCTGGTGGGTAATCTGCAATACTGCCTTTAAAGTTGTCACAGAAGCTACCAGCCTATGGATAACAATTCCAATATCTCCTTTTCAGGCAGTCTGGGCTCTGGGAAATATAGCTGGAGACAGTTCCGTTTGCCGAGATTACGTCTTGAACTGTTCCATCCTTAGTCCTTTGTTAACGTGAGTAATTACAATCTTTGGCATCTGGGGCATCTATGGGGGGCAATTTGATAACTCATTTGAGAGCTGCATACTTGACTTGTTAAGATGACAGGTAAGGGGCTGGGGATTTAGCTCATAAGCACCTGCCTTGCAAGCAGGCGGTCGTGAGTTCGATCCCTGGTACTGATAAAAAAAAAAAAAAAGATGACAGGTAAATCGGGGGCTGGGGATTTAGCTCAGCGGCATAAGTGCCTGCCTTGCAAGCAGGCAGTCGTGAGTTCGATCCCTGGTACCGATAAAAATGAAAAAGACAAAAAAAAAAAGATGACAGGTAAATCCAGAAACTGCAGATATGAATTCCAATCACCTAAGTAGAAGTTATCTTTTGAGAGTAAGAATATTGTATCCCTGGTCTGTGTCAAGAAGGATCTTGTTCCTTACCTCATGATGCTATGGAGCTTCCTGTTGGTCATATCTGCCTTACTGAGCCAGGGAGAAAGGTGGGACAAGTCTGAAAAAAATCCCCTCACTTCATAAATCCTTTAAAAAAAATTAATTCCATACTGCATGGGTAACTGCATGCCTTTTACTAGACCTCCGGCTTTTATTTCCAAAGAGACTACTCCTTGTCCCAAACCCATACCTAGAAACTTTGCATGTTTACTCAGGATCTAGCCTTCTGTTTTGTCTCTGTTACCTATGGTATTAACTACCCACAGTTTGTCCTAGTCTTATATGCAGAGATCAGCCAAACTGTATTGATTTAGGTATATAGGAGGAAAAACAAGCTTCTAGAGTCTTAGGGATCTTACTGAAGTTGTTTACTGGGATTTAGTGACAACAGCCCTGTGTCCAGCGATCAGTGCACAGGATCAGGCTTTGCTTTTTTCCTTCAGACTCCTTACCAAGTCCACAAGACTGACAATGACACGAAATGCAGTTTGGGCCCTGTCAAACCTTTGCCGAGGGAAGAACCCACCCCCAGAGTTTGCAAAGGTAAGCAAGCTGCCTGCCAGCCTCTGCGTGCATGATAGCAGATTCCACCATCTGCAATGAAATTTCTACTTGAAATTTTAAGTTGGATACTCCATAGGGCCTCAAATCATGGGAACCTGAAAGAGGTAGCTGTCAGTGAAGAAGGTGATCTTGTATAGCTAATGATGGAAGATCCTAGGATCAGGAATTATTTTTTTAAAATATGGTAGCAGTGTTAGGCCTCATGATAGAACTGATGCATCCTTGCCCCACTGTGAGTCCTCCTCACTCTGCTTCCAACAGGTCTCTCCTTGTTTGCCCGTATTATCTCGCCTACTCTTCAGCAGTGATTCAGACTTGCTGGCAGATGCTTGCTGGGCCCTCTCTTACCTGTCTGATGGCCCCAATGAGAAGATCCAGGCAGTTATAGACTCTGGAGTCTGCCGGAGATTGGTAGAGCTTCTGATGTGAGTAGAGAGGGTAAAGGTTCCCTAAGCTTCTCCAAGCTCTCACCAAAGAGCTGCAACCAGCAGTTTGCTGGCTTTTCCAAAGGTTTGGAGCTGTGAGAATGTTGTCAGCCTGGGTGGTCAGCAGGGCTTAATATGGTCTACTGGCTTTCCATTGATCAGATCTTCCTTCTCTGTAGGCACAATGATTACAAGGTGGCATCACCAGCTCTGAGAGCTGTAGGTAACATCGTCACTGGGGATGACATCCAGACCCAGGTAAGGAAGAAGTAAAGTCTTAATTCAAACCAGCTATGGAAAAGCATTGTGGAAAACTGCCAATGGACAGAAACGTTCCCTGTCTGATACGAAGTGGCATGGTCTAGCAGAAAGCATGGACTTTAGTAAAAAAATTCCAGCTTTGCCTGTTTATGATCATGGGCACCTTGGTTCCTGCTCTTAATTGGAAACAAATCATCATCCATTTGGTGTTTGTGAAAGAAAACTAAGCAGAATAACTGGACTGAGACATCATAAGGTAGCTATTAAATCCGAGTCATGATTCTTTTGAAATACTGAAACCAGTGGAACTCCACACCTACTTCCTAGACTTTTAGGATCCCATGGACATTGTCTGATGTTAATCTCATGTCAGTAACCCCTCCCAGCCAGACACAGTGGCATAGTGGCATAAGCTGTGGAGACTAAGATGAGAATCTCTTGAGCTAGAATTTTGAAACCAGCTTGGGAAATATAGGAAGAGCTCATTTCAAAAATAAAAATAATAGGGGCTAGAGATTTAGCTCAGTGGCTTAAGCACTTACCTGGTTAGTGCAAGGTCATGAGCTTGATCCCTAGTATCAAAAATAAATAAAATAATAAAATGAAAGTATCTCTTCAATGAGGTAAAAAGGATTCTTTTGTTCAAAGGCTATACAGAGCTGAATGTTCTTCAGATCTTGAATAGTTGGCATAATTCTGTGAGATTCTTGTTTTGAGGGAGGGGGATGAGACAAGATCTCCCTGTGTAGCCGAACCTTGAACTCATGATAGTCCTGCTTCAGCCTCCTGAGTGCTGTAATTACAGACATGTTACCACCACACTTGGCAATTCTGTGAGCTTCTTGACAAACTTCTTATAAGTAAGCAGTCTTACTCAAACTCACTCCCTTTCTAGATCATTTTATGTGAGAGTATGCATTTGTACACACACATGCACATAAAAATGTAACATAAGTTAATGGAGTACTACTATGCTGTAAAGAAGGATAAACTTGAGACATTTCTAGTAAATGGTTATACCTTGAGACTATATTCTTAGGTGAAACAAATAGAGCACATGTGTAAATATTACATCATTTCTCTAGTATGAGAAACCAAAAGTGTAAATAAAAACCAAAATGTATAACAGATATGGAAAATGTTCAAATGAGAAGGGGAACAAAGGGATAGGGAAGAAAAGAGACAAAGAATAGAAGGAAGAAATAGAAACAAAGCTTTATAAATAGAGGGGAAGATGAGTTGAAGAGAGAGGAGGGGAATGGGAAAAAAACAAGATATACATTGTACAGGTACAAATTGCCTGTAATGAATGTTATCACTAAGTATATCTAAAATGTACCAATGTACCAATAAAATTTTTTTTAAACTTTTTTAAGAAAATACAACAAATTTGCCAGGTACGGTGATACACACCTATAATCCCAGCATTTGGGAGGGCGAGGCAGAAAGATTCAACTATTCAATCATCACCAGCCATCCATCTATAGAAATTCATTATCTCAGAGTGAAATTTTGAGACATGTAATTCTTAGCTAGGCGCAACGGCACATGCCTGTAATCCTAGCACTCAGCAGGCAGGAAGATCATTATAAGTTCTGTGCTACAGAGTGAGCACAAGGCTAGCCTGAGCTGCCTTGCAAGACCCTATCTCAAAAAGACCCTCCCCCCCAAAAAAAATATATATATATAAAATAAAAATTATATATATATATATATATATATATAATTCTCACGCAGTGAGTTTCAGTGTTCTAAGTACCTCATACAGTATTGCTTCTTTTGCATCTGAGCATAGTATCTTCAGGGTTCATACATGCTCTACTTTGTTTCTCCCAAAGTAAGACCAGATCTTAAATTAATTTTTGCTCCAAAAGTTACAGTAGGGCTTACTTTCAGGAGATGTCTTATTTTTTCCATATACAACAACTTACCTTTTTTGTTGTTTTTTGTTCTTTTGGAAACAGGGTCTTGCTATGTAGTATAGTTCAGGCTACCCTTGAACTCACTATGTGGCCCAGACTGGCCTGGAACTCCCTCGGCAATCCTCCTGCTTCAGCCTCTCAAGTACGAGAATTGTAGGCATGTGCCACCACTCCTAGCTTTAATTTATATTTATTCATGTATAATAATCTCCATTTATAAGAGCTAGGAATTTAGCTCAGCGGCATATGCGCCTGCCCAACAAGCATAAGGTCATGAGTTCAATCCCCAGCTCCAAAAAAAAAATCTCTATTTACTCAGATATGTTCATGTCATCTTATGGAACATCATCATAGTTCTCCAGACTGAATTTCTTGCAACTCCCATTTCCTATTGAACCGTTGGCCCCAATCTCTCATATCCAGCCATAGAGCTCTTTTAAATGAGCACACTTCCAATCCATGTAGCCTGCTCATACTGCAGGGGTAACACAGCTGCCTATGATTTTATTCCATGAATTCTTCAGGATCTCTGCAGGCTAGGCTTCACAGAACTTCCATTAAATCAAGACAAGTGACAGCTGGGTATGGTGGTGCACCCCTATTGTCCCAAGTACTCAGGAGGCCAGGCAGGAGGATCATTGGGAGTTTTATTCCAGCCTGGGCTACAAAGTGAGGTCAAGGCCAGCCTGAACTACATAGTGAGATGCTGTCTTAAACAGCAAAAAAAGGGGCTGGGGATTTAGCTCAGTGGCATAAGCACCTGCCTTGCAAGCAGGCGGTCGTGAGTTCAATCCCGGGAACCGATAAAAGGATAAAAAAAAGAAAGAAAAAAAAACAGCAAAAAAAGATAGGAGTGGCAACAAAGATAATGCCACTTAACAATGATGGCCCATCCCTGTGTGGTGGTACATTCCTATAATCCTAGCACTCAGCTGGCTTGAAGCAGGAAGGTCATCACAAGTTCAAGGCCAGCCTGAGAGACACAATGAGTTCAAGACCACCCTGGTATATAGCAAGACCCTGTTTAAAAAATAAAAAAGAATGACGGGCCATACAAAAGTAACAAAAAAATTGCAGATGCCAAAATAAATGTGTCTTAGCACTCAGGAGGCTGAGGCAGGAGGATCATTGAAAATTCAAGATTAGCCTGGGCTACAAAGTAAGCTCAAGGCCAGCCTAAATTGCGTAGTGAATCCTTGTCTCAAAAAGACAAAAAATACTAATTAATTAATTAAAAAATATTTCACAGAAGTGCATTGATATGTTTATTATAATACATGATGTAGCCAGGATTTTAGCTTGGTGGCACAAGCGCCTGCCTGGCAAGTGCGAGGTCAAGAGTTTGATCCCTGGTACCAAAAAAGAAAACAATACATAATGTATTGAACTGTGAAGTTTCATATTAGGCACAACCACATCCATTCACTGTTAAGTGCATGTGTTACTCATGCATTATATCTGTACTCTGATTGACCATTTGGCAGTAAGTCTCAAGTTCCATCTGTTATAGAGGCATTTACTTCTTGTCCAAAGACACCTGCTTGGTATTTACATATACCTAATTATAATGTATGTTAACTTCAGTACATCCATTGTGTGTTGCAGCAGATGAACTAGATGTGTCATCTGACTGATTGTAATTGGGGCTTATTTTTAGAATAGGACTTACACTACAAGCACCCTCAAAAAAATCTCATTAGAGCTTATTTTTCATTTAGGTTTGTTTTTGGTTTTTTGGTTTTTTGTTTGTTTGTTTTTTGTTTTTTGTTTTTTTTTTGTCCTTTTCGTTTTTATCGGTACCAGGGATCGAACTCACAACTGCCTGCTTGCAAGGCAGGCGCTTATGCCGAGTGAGGTATTATTTTCAAGGAAGTATGGTAGCATATATTCCTTCCTTTTCAAGGCTGAATATTATGTAGAGGTATAGACTATCTTTTTAAATCATTTATTGATTGCCTGTGGACATTTGGGTTGTTTTAAACTTACAACTATTCTAAATAATGCTACTATGAACGTTACTATACAACTATTTCTTTAAATTCCTGCTTTTCCTTCCTCTGGATATATAACCAGAATTAGTAGGTAATATGGCAGTAACAATCATCCTAAGGAGTATGAAATGATATCACATTGTATTTTTTTTTTTAATTGGTACCGGGGATCGAACTCAGGACTGCCTGCTTGCAAGGCAGGCGCTTATGCCGCTGAGCTAAATCCCCAGCCCCTATCACATTGTATATTGATTTATGTTTTCCTAATGACAAGTGATGTTAAGCATCTTTTGTGTGTTTACTAGCTAGCTATATATCTCAGATTATATACATCTCAGAGAAATACCTGTTTGGGTCCTTTTTTGGTGTAGTATTAGGATTGAGCCCAGCACCTCACACATGCAACTCAAGTACTCTGCTGAACTATATTCCCAATGCTTTTGCTCATTTTTTAGTATATGTGCTTGCCAAAGCAAGCACGTGCTCATTTTTTATGTGGGTGGTTTAGGAGCATTTTTATCGTTTAGTTGTAGGATTTCTTCGTATATTCTAGGTATTCATCCCTTATTAGATACGTTTTTTTCCTCTTTGTTAATACTGAGGATTGAATCGAGGGTCTCAAGCATGCTAGGCAAGCACTCTACCAGTGAGCTACATCCCAAATCCTATTTAGGGTGTTTTTGGTTTTTGGAGGTTTTTTTTTCTTTTTTTTTTTTTTACTATTTATGGTAACTTACACAAGCATTTTTTGTTTTGATAAAGTCCAAATACCTAATTTTTCTTTTGTTTCCTGTGTGTGTGTTGTTGTAGGTTATCCTTAACTGTTCAGCCCTCCCTTGCCTCCTCCACTTGTTGAGCAGCTCCAAGGAATCAATCCGAAAGGAAGCTTGCTGGACCATTTCAAACATCACTGCTGGCAACAGGGCTCAAATACAGGTACAACAGCACGGAAGCTGAGGAGTATGAGGAGGCATCGAAACATGAGAAGTTGTAGGATGTTTGCTTCCAGGAAAAGAATCAGTTTCCTTTTAGAAATTGGGACCAAGAGCCGGGCGTGGTGGCTCATGCCTGTAATCCCAACACTGGGGAGGCTGAGGGAGGAGGATCCTTGCGAGTTCGAGACCAGCCTGGGCTACAAAGTGAGCTCAAGGCCAGCCTGAACTGCACAGAGAGACCCTGTCTCAAAAAGACAAAAAAAAAAGAAAAAGAAAGAAAAGAAATTGGGGCCAAGAGGCTGGAGTGTAGCTCAGTGGTACATTCTCATCTAGCATGCATGAAGTCCTGCCTTCAACCTCAAGCATCATCACAAAGATTCTGTTTAGTGAAAACTGCATTTCTCTATAGCCAACATGTTACCCCTATATGGAAAGAACAAGAGAACTCCCATATGAGGAAAGATGTCTAAATCTTAGCTGATTTTTTAGTTAGATTTGCTTTTTCTTCTGAAGTGACTCTGTCTCCTCAATTTTATCTCAGGCTGTCATAGATGCAAATATCTTCCCCGTGTTAATTGAAATCCTTCAAAAAGCAGAGTTCCGTACAAGGAAAGAAGCAGCCTGGGCCATCACCAATGCCACATCAGGAGGAACCCCTGAGCAGATCAGGTATCACATTCCTTTCCTTGAGTGATATGTGTGCTCTCCTTTGTTCATGGTTAACACAAATTACTTTTGCTGGGATAGATCTGCCCCCTGGTCTATCTGCAATAGAACTTAACTAATAAGCTGTTATGGTGATAGGAGAATCTGGAATAGATTCCTGAAGACCATAATGTGTGACACCTCTCTTCTCCGCCAAAGAATAAAAACCTATGGCACAGATACCCATCTCTTCTCTACCTTTTCCTCTTCCTAGCCCCCAAAGAACTGAAATCTGTGTAATTCTGAGTTATTCAAACCCGGAAGAACCATGCTCTGGATCCATCAAAGCATCTTCTTTGGGGTTTTGTTTTTTCCCAGTGTTATGGATTTGGGGTTTTTTGAGACAGAGTCCTGCTATGTAGTCCCGGCTGACCTTGAACTCACTATGTGGCCCATGCTGGCCTCAAACTCCTAGTGATCCTCCTGCTTCAGCCTCTCAAGTGCTGGGATATTAGGCATGTGCCACCATGCCAGTAGATGAATCTTAAGCAAGTAAAAAGTTACTGTGTTTGTGTCTGTGTGCATGATACTCTTTTTATTAATTTCCATTATCTGAGTCTTAAGTGGAATAGTGAAATTTGGATATCTTGCCCTCTCCTGTGGCCTACTCAAAGGAAGTACACTCAGTAGATAAAAAACCTGAAAACTAAAGAGACATGCATTGAGTTGAACATTAAGGAATAGGTGTAAAATTGAAAGAAACTTTCAAGACCAAACAAGATGTAAATAAAGGTACAAGAATAAGAAGTCTGGTGACCTGCTGGGCAGTTGTACATTCCTATGTCACCTACTCAGAAGACTGAAGTAGAATTCAAAGTTTAAGCCCCACCTAAGCAACTTAAAAGAGACCCTGACTCAAAATTTAAGAAAAAGAAAAAAGGCATGTTTGCTCATGCAAGTAATCCCTGCACTTGGGAGGCTGAGGCAGGAGGATTGTTGCAAGTTTAAGGCCAGCCTGGGCTAGAAAATGAGTTCAAAGCCAGGTTCAACTACACAGTGAAACTCTGTCTCAAAAAAAAGGGGGGGGGGTTAGTGATGGAACACTTTGCTAGTAAACAGGAGACCTTGGATTCAATCCCTAATACTGTAGAGACAGAGGGAGTGGGACAGGCGTGACCAAGAGAAATCTTCAAACCTTCATAAGTGTGACTGGAATGTAATACCCCTAGAAAGCAGAACTGGAAAAAGACCTAGAAGCTAGGATTGTAGAGTCTGTATTATCTCATAGGTCTTGAACCCAGGGAAATAGGGAACCTGTGAAGGGAAAAGTATTTAGAATGATAATGTTGCACCCAGTGCAACTTCAGGGTTGAGAAAGAAGAGTCTGTGGTGGTATCAACATGTGAAGTAAACTAGACTGATAGCAAAGGAAGGAAGAGTGGAGGGATTGAGGGGAAAAAATGGGCAGTTATCAAGAGCCAGTAAAGCCAGACACCGTAGTGCATGCCTATCATCTTAGAACTCGAGAGATGAGGCAGGAGGATCACTGCAAGTTTGGGCTGCATAGTAAGTATAGGGCCAACCTGAGTAGTATGACTCTGTCTCAGAACAAAAAAGACTCAGTAAGAATAGATGGCTGAGAGTGTTAACATGTCAGGGAGACCTAAAACCAAAGCATCTGCCCAGCTGTTTTGTTTTTTTGGCATTTTAAGACAGGGTCTCACTCTGCAGTTCAGGCTGGTCTTGAACTCACTTTGTAGCCCAGGCTGGTCTCAAACTTACAACATTTCCTGCCAAGTGCTGGGATTACAGGGGTGTGCCATCACACCCAGTTTCTGCCCAGCTCTTAACTTTCTTTGCATTAAATTAGAATTTGCTTTATCTCTGGCCCCCAGATACCTAGTGTCACTGGGCTGCATCAAACCCCTGTGCGACTTGCTGACCGTAATGGATTCAAAGATTGTACAAGTGGCCCTCAATGGACTAGAGAACATCCTGCGGCTTGGAGAACAAGAGAGCAAACGGAGTGGCTCAGGGGTTAATCCCTACTGTGGCCTCATTGAGGAAGCATATGGTATGTTCCTTCTCCCTGACCTTGCCTTGGCCTTTAATAGAGAGATAATAGGTCAGAGTCTGGCAGTTGTGTGCCTCCAAAGCACGTAAATGTGTGTGTGTGTGTGTTTGCGTACACCTGCACACGGACATGCTGGAGAGCATCCATAGTTTCCATGAGACGTGAATCTCCAAAATTAGTGAATAACTGCTAGCCAAGTAACTCTATTACTCTAATAATTCTATTAGTAACAGGAGTAACTCTGAGAAGTGAATAATGATTTTCTCATTCTCAGTTTAAAGCAGAATCAGGAATGGATCCTCTTTATAACTGACATGTTGGTCTTTTCTTTATGGGAGCGGTTACTAAGTAAAGGACTCACAATCTTGCACTTGCCAGGCAGGCACTTACATCACTGAGTTAAATCCCTGGCCCTTGTTGGTCTTTTTCTTTTAGGATTTTATATTTTGAGGAAGAGATCATGACTGTCCTCTTTCACATCAAAGAGTGGTCTGATTTTACTACTTGTGCTTATAAACACAAACATACTTCAGAGAATAAAAAGTACATAAATGTTGTGTACGTATACAGTAAAATATGCACACACACTTTATTCTACCACCTTCTTGCCCCTATAGGCTTGGATAAAATCGAATTTCTTCAGAGCCATGAGAACCAAGAGATCTACCAAAAGGCCTTTGATCTCATTGAGCACTACTTTGGTGTAGAAGATGACGATGGCAGCCTTGCTCCTCAAGTAGATGAAACGCAACAGCAGTTCATCTTCCAGCAGCCCGAAGCCCCCATGGAGGGCTTCCAGCTATAATGTCTGCCTCCGGGGAGGGGAGGGGATGGGAAGCACCACCAGCCAGTGGTAGAGCAGCCCTCTGGTGGGCAGGAAGCCAGCCCCCACCAACACCGGCTACCCTGGAGACTGTGCTCTGGACCTGCTCTGCCCCCTTCCCTGGAGGGAGGCCCTCTGGACAGACAGAACCATCTGAGGCTCACATGTGGGTTTTGTGACAAAAAGGGGACATGTTGGGTTTTCTTCCTTACACTATATTCTGGCTGCACACATGTCTTTAACCCAGGAGCCCAGGGGTAGACAAAGGAGGACTGAGGTAATCATTTTGCACCTTTCTTTTTTGTTTTGTTTTGTTTTTCTTTAATGGTGACTTCCTTTCTTTTATCTCCCTTCATCCTTCCCAGTCCTCTGCCCTGATCAATGTAACTGTTATTTTGGGTACGTGAGCAGATGGAGTATTCCAGAGGTGGGAGGGAAAGGGAAGGGAGAAATCCAAAACAAAGTGTTCTTGCTCTGACGGAATATTAATCTTGTATGCTTGGATTGAGTTATTTAATTTTTTTCTTTTGCACATTTTTCTTGTATATTAAGGTTGCTCTTCCCAAGAGCTGTTGAGTTTCTGGTTTTATAAATCCCAGCTACCAGCACTATATGGGACAAGGGCCTGAAGGGGTGGCCACCATGAAACAAAGGCCCCTCTTCTCTCACCCTTTTCCCAGACCTCTCAAATTCGGGGTACATTTCACTCTCCTGGGCCAAGAACACCCATGGAAGTGGAGGGGAGGAGTACAGGCTTTCAAATAGGGCTTCTTATGTGTAGCTACTGACCCCATGTTTCCTACCACCTTCCAAATGGTGCAACCCAACTTCATTTTTTACTTGAAAATTTCCCTCAGAGTGGATGAATCTCTGAGGTGGCTGTATTTCCTAAGCTCAAGACAGGGGGCTGTGATCCCTCCATTCTTCTGAGAAAGTTCTTGCTCTGGTGACCTGTTAAGTTTCAGAGGAAGTTGAAGTGAGACTGCCCAGTATTGGGATAGTCAGGGATCCCTGCCTTTGGCCTTTCTTCCTCTTCTGTAGTTGGATCGTGTTTATTTTACTTCCAAAGGAGAGAATGTCAAAACGTTCTGTATTTTTTTTATATCCTATATAGTTGGTATGGTAATCTTAATTGGACTTAAGAGAAGGAACTGTCTGTAATTTTTGTGAGTAGGATACTGTGAGGAAGACCAAAAAGATATATAGAAGTTTCCCCACTTAGCAGGGCTGAGCTTGGTCCTTTTCCTCTCTGCTTGGATTCTAGGCCAAGACCTAGGACCAGCTCTTAGCTCTGAATCCTTTAAGCAGATCAGCCAACAGGATCTATTGTTCCTGATTATGCTGGGGGCAAGAACGGTTTTAGGGCCTAGTGGAATCTTCCTGGCTAGTACTCCCTGCTGAGCATCCACTTATGTCAGGAAACCCGGAAAGTAGTCTGCATTCCCAAATTCAGTTTCAAAGACTGTTGTCCACATACAATGTCACACACAGCTGCCTCTTCTCTTACAAAAAACCAGCAGCTCTTATGAGAGCTGTTGGTATCTTCCCTGTTTGAGATCCTGTTTTGGGTTTTCCTTTCTTTGTGACAATTATAATCCAGATGCCTTTTCTCCTGAGTAAGGCTAGTGCAATGTCCAGTGGCTTGCCTATGCCTCTGGGTGGGTTTCTCATGATAATAAAGAGGGATGGGGTTGGCTGAAGACTCCCTACTTCTGCATTCCTAGAATAATCAGGGTGCCCTACTCTTAAACTACACCTTTTCTTCCCCAGAAACAATATCATACTTGCTTCCATTCTTACAAATTCCCTTTTGGCGCAAGTGAAACCTGTACCCCTTCCCTCATAGATCTAAAGCTCAGGCTCTTTTTGTTGGCTTTTTGTCTTAAATTTGCCTTCTCCTAGGGCCGGGGGTTTAGCTCAGCAGCGTAAGCATCTGCCTAGCAAGCACAAGCTCATGAGTTCGAGCCCCAGTACCAAATAAAAAAACCCAAATTGCCCTCTCCTAGTGTTGAAATCCTTCTTGAGACATTTTCTAAGGAAAGTGGATTAGGACTAGAATACTGAAGAATCACACTACTGTTCACTGCCTTGGTGAGGCAGATGCCACTCATGCACTTAGGAATGATGACTGTGAACCCCTAATTTCCTAGGAAGGCAAGGACAGGATTCTTTTCACTGAGCCTGCTAGCTCCATTACAAAACTACACTCCTTGCTGGGTGTGCTGGTTGCACACCTGTAGTCCCAGCACTCAGAACTTTTGAGGAATGAGGATCACATCAAGTTCAAGGGCAGCCTGAACTACACATCAAGACTTTGTATTGTTTTTGAAAAAAGAAAAATGATTCTACGATTTGAAGAAAAGTTACTCACTCCCTACTGTTGTCCTTGTCTAAAGGGCAGAGCAGTTTAGTAGGATGTACTTTGTACATCTCAAGCAGCAGTTAACTCGATACTGGAGCCGTATTCTTAGTGTAGAACACAAATGTCCTGCTTTTCCAACTGCTCCTCCAAAATCTATTTTGGCTTCAGATCTAGGTCTTGTACCAGATGGACTTTCTTGGTCATCTCACTGCTACTTAAATCCAGTTTTCTCCAAGGACTTCAGAGGCTAAATTCTACTTGGGGCACAATATGGGAACAGATTTAAGAGAAAAATAATTTCTAGAAACTTACGTCTTCCCCAGACTATGTTTCCCCCTTATTTTCCTCAAATCCCTTTCAATACACAGGTAAAGTTCTTCCAGCCCACAGAGACAGTAGCCGCCTTTTGTATCTTCTCTCCTTTGGCCATTTTGTAAAGAGCCAATCTATGAACAGACCCTGCCTTAAGTGAGGTCAGAGCCTTCTGGTAGGTTTCTAGCAGGGTGGTTATTGCCACCATGAAAAGGCCCCCTTGCCTGCTATAGAGAATAACCTGCTATGTTAAGGTTTTTTGAAACCTTTAACTAAGATCTCTGGTGGAGTGAGCAAATCTAGGTCCGAAATAAGTGGACAAAGGGGCTTTTTGGTCATTCACATGTTACTGCCAGGTGTTCTTTTTTTACCAGCCCCTCTTAGTCTTCTGCCAGATCTTTAGTACTTACAGGGTCCTTTCAGTTTCCAGCAGTCCCCAGTAACCACTTGGTCTTGATGTTGGCTGCAGTTTTCTGGGAGAACCACATGTGTTCCACCCTCACCCTGTCAACCTGGTTAGTTAGGTTTGTGGACACAAATGACCCACTGAGGAACAAGTGTTGATGACCTCCTTGTTCCCCTTTACTTGGAACTCTTAGGTCTACTAGTTCAACCCTGTTTATGCTGGAAGCCTTTCTTTCCCAGGAATCTTCCTCCCTCTCTTTCTGTTTCTTTTTTTATAAGCTAAACTGCACAGATTATAACTGCTGTTGTACTTGAGAAACAAAGACTCTTAGGTGCAGTCTTTCTCTAGCCAAAGGTATGCAAAAGGAAAACTGTCTAGCAATATAAACTGCATTTCATATTCTCATGTCTGCCTCCCAGAGAGGCAGAGGGAAACCAGGCAATACTGATTCCTCACTCCACATGTTCTCTTTTTAAAGACCCCATCTCTTATTCATGCCTCATCTTTTTCCCTTTTACTCAGTTTGGTATCTAGTGTCTTATGTGTTCCTCAGTAGGTTTATGTTATATGCTTGGATTTTCTTCCAGGTCCCTGCAAGCATTCCAGTAACCCAGTAGGGAAGACAGGCTGGCTAAAGGCCTTGCTGTTAGGCAAGGGAAGAATATAAGACTTAGTGCACTGAACCATACGAAATGCTTATGACTAATGGCAGCATCTTACAAGTAGTGCTGCCCTGGACAGTAGTGAAGGTAAGACTGACTGACTGCTCTGAGTGTGTGTTTCCTAGCCATTTAGGATTGCACATTTTAGGCCAGCCCCATCCGGGGTCTTACCTGTTGGAGTATTTGTTAAACCATCAAACTGAGAATTGGGCTCCTTAGGTATCCATATGGTGGCCACCATCTGCTTTTTGGGGACATGCCTTCAAGAATGATTCAGTCATCCCATTGTCCCCTAGCCTCGAAAATATAAGATCTTGGCAAGAAGTTGTTGTCAAGGTCAAGCAAATCTGAATTTTGCTCAAAGAGGGCATTTTGCTTGAGGCCTGGACTCTGCAGGACCAAAGCTGGCTTTGAGAAAAGTAGCAGTGTTAAGTTGCAGAACAGCCTAGGAGAAAGGTTCATTTGGTTTGTCTTCAAGGACTAGGCCAAATTACCTATTTCTGGGGAGCCAGCCTAACTTCTAATGCCCACGTTAGCCCAAACCTGCACATTAGTCCTGCTCTCTTGGGTAGGTCTGATTTCAAGCTCTAAGTTAGGGGACAAAATTGTACTACGTCTAGAGGACTGTGAAGGAAGTCAAAGCTGAGACTGCCTGGGAAGTTTTGACCTGTGCTTAAAAGAAGTCCACATTATATGAATACTTGGATCCTGGAGTTGATACTGGATTTTCCAGCCAACTTTTCTAGGAATCGCCTTTTACTGGCCTGTTAAACAAGGGAAGGGGTTTTGGGATCTGAAACACCCAACAGACAAGATCTCCTCCAATAACAGCTTGGCTTGCTAGCTGAAGATCCTAGGGAAATGAATCAAATCCTCTTAACTGGTTTTTCTTTCCAAATTCATTTGCTTTTGTTTTTCTCAAAACTATAAAATCTGGCCATTTTCTATAATCTCAAGGCCCCTGGGTAGACAAAGCTTGATTTCAAAGCAGACATAGGCCAAGAAATTATGGCATTGAGTGTGCTGAGTCCAGACAAATAATATTTATATACACATCCAAATTTGAAGAAAAAATGTATTTCTTTAGATTTCAAACACTGTAATAGATAAAAAGCAAAAATAAAAACCTGTTACAAAGTTCTAAATTGTCTTCTTTGATTCATAGTGCCCCTAGTTTGGATTTTAGAAGCAAATAAGAGAGAGTGAACTTAGCAGGGCATGATAGCACATGCCTGTAATCCCATCACTCAGAGAGGCAGGAAGATTGCCAAAAGTTTTGAGGCCAGCCTGGGCTAAACTGAGTTCCAAGACCAGCCTAAACTACATAATGAGACTCAGTCTCAAAAACAACAACCAAAAAAGGGCCGATTACGGTGGCACACACCAGTAATCCCAGCACATGGGAGGTCAAGGAAGGATGATGGTTGTGAGTTTGAAACCAGCCTGAGCTACATAGTGAGACTGTCTCCAGAAAAAAAAATTTTTTTTTTTTTGAAGAGGCCAGGGATTTAGCTCTGCAGCATAAGCACCTGCCTTGCAAGTACGCGGTAGTGAGTTCAATTCCTGGTACCAAAAAAAAAAAAAAAAAAAAATTGAAGATTAATAGTGAAGATGAGAATTATATCAATCTGGGTATAGTACATATCTAGTACCAACTACTCAGGAGGCTGAGGGAGGAGGGTTTCCGCTCACTATGGGTATCTTAGTGAAAACCTGTTTCAAAAAGGCTGAAGATAAAAAAATTAAAATTTTTTTTTTTAAAAAGGGCTGGGGATTTAGTTCAGCGCCATAAGCACCTGCCTTACAAGCAGGCAGTCGTGAGTTCAATCCCTGGTACCAATGAAAAGGAAAAAGACAAAAAAAAAAGGGGGGGCTGGAGATGTAGCTCAGTACAAGTCCCTGGGTTCTGTCCCCCAGTATTGCAAAATAAAAAGACACCAACTTGTTCTTGCTGTAAAGAGTTTTTAATTTACTATTGAAACTCAGTTGACAGTACAATAAATTGTACAAGGGATGGAATTTGACATTTACATCTGTAAATGTATTGCATATATCTCCATCATAGTAGTAAATTTCTCTGTGCCCTCTTGAGGATTCCGTCTTTCTTGCCTCACAGCAACTATATAGTGATCTGTGCTTGGTCACAATAGTTTAGTTTGCACTTTAGTTTTTCTGAAGTATTTTGAGGACTCCAGATTCAGCAGCACTCCACAGCCCTTTGAGCCTGCTGAAGTCAAATTGTTCACAAATTCCCTCCAGTTCACAGCAGAGAAATACAGTCAAGCAACTAAAAAAACTAGTGGAATCCACAGGGAAGATTTGGTTACCAGATGGTGTGTTGAAGTTAGTTTGTTTGATTGTTTGGTACTGGGATGGGACTCATGACCTTGTGCTTGTCAGGCAGGCACTTGGGCTGCTAAGCTAAATCCCCAGCCCTGTGTTGAAGTTTTGTCAATTTTTTTTTCTTTTAATTTGCTGGGGGTTAAAACCAGAGCCCATTGGGGACGGGGGTTTAGCTCAGCGGCATAAGCACCTGCCTTGTAAGCAGGCAGTCCTGAGTTCGATCCCCGGTACCGATAAAAATGAAAAAGAAAAAAAAAAAAACCAGAGCCAATGCTAGGCAAGTGCTTTACTACTGCTATCTGCTATACACCACCAGCTGAAACATTTTTGGTTTTTCATTGTTTTTAGCCATTTTTAAAGATCAAAACATAAATCTTTTTAACTTTTTTCCGGTACCGGGGATCAAACTCATGACCGCCTCCTTGCAAGGCAGGTGCTTATGCCACTGAGCTAAATCCCCAGCCCCTATCAGAACATAAATCTTAAAAAGTACTATTTAGCAGTGTTGTCCTGAGTTCTGCTCAGCAACAGCCTGTAAGAGCTGCTGTGATGGGGGCTGGGGATTTAGCTCATTGGCATAAGCACCTGCCTTGCAAGCAGGCAGTCCTGAGTTCGATCCCCAGTACCGATAAAAAAGATAAAAAAAAAAAAAAAAAAAAAGCTGCTGTGTTTTACCAGGAACATCTCCCTTGGGCCAAGTGTTTCAGCTTAGCAGGTGCTAATATGGTGCTGTATATTGTCTTACTGCAAAAGAAATAGATTTATTTCCATAGAGCGAATTGAATTCAGGATCTTCAGTCTTCATACAGAGATATATCTCCAGCCCTCTTCCCTCCCCTTTGAACACCATTTCACTAAATTGCTAAAAATTGTCCCAGGCTGAGCTCCAAATCCTGCTTAGCATCTCAGAGTGCCCATGTTTTTATCAAATTTTCATACTGCTTGCTGGCTCCTCTAGTCCTCTAGGAGCCACACTCTCCACTTCATGAATATTATATATATATATATATATATATATATATATATATATATTGTCTTTTTCTTTTTTATCAGTACCAGGGATTGAACTTAGGACCACACACTTGCAAGGCAAATGCTTATGCCACTAAGCTAAATCCCCAGCCCTTCATGCAAACTTTTTAACAGATTCTTTTTTTTTGTTTTGTTTTGTTTTTGTTTTTACCGGTACCAGGAATCAAACTCACAACCACCTGCTTGCAAGGCAGGTGCAATCCCCAGCCCCTTTTTAACAGATTCTTTATCTAGAATGCCTTCTTCCTCTGGAAATCCATCAAGGCCCAATTTATATGTTGCCTTTTCAGATTTGCAGTATGTTTTTCTGGATGTAATCATTTCCCTGATTTAAAGAGAACCAAGTTCCAAGCCTTTCTGTGCCTCAACTGCCTATTATTATACCACATTGTTTCTCAAGGTTACATGGTAAGAATCTTAGTGCAGCCTAAAGACACTGCCATGAAGTATCTTTAACTTAGCCTTTAGGGAAAATAGGTAACATTTTAGCCCTAAACAATGCCAAATTAACACAATGGTTTATGCTCTATCCCCAACCTGATGCTAAGGCTCTAAGATGAGAGCCTTGCAAAGATTCTTGCAAAGCTCACTGACTTGAAAGCAAATAGTAATTTTTAGCATTTTATTGCTAATGATATACTTTCCAGATCTAAGAAGCTGTGCAGATTGCAGAGCCTGGGAAGAAAGCTCTTGATAGAGTAGGTAGCAAGGTATGAGCCAGAGCTGGGGAACACAGTTGTTTCTAGGGACCCTGGACTGACAACATGGACCATCATCCAACCTGGCTGAGGCTGAGCTCCCATAACACTGAAGGGAGATTTGAGATTTTGTCTTTTGCCACAAAGGTATTTTGAGTGAAAGAACAACATCCACAAAAACTGAGAAATCTTGGGAACACTGAAAGTATAATTGAGACTAAAACCGGCAAAGGTAGGGCTGGAGATTCAGCTCAGTGGCATAAATGCCTGCCTGGCAAGCATGAGGTCTTGCGTTTGATCCCTAGTACCATTTTTTTTAAAAAAAGGCAAAGATAATAGGAAGGATTTACTGGGAACAGGAAAAGCCAGAACTTTTAAGTTCAAAATTCAGGCATAGTATCGTTCGGGTTTATTCTTGTACCATCTAGGCAACAAAGATGAAAAATTATGAAGAAATTTGGAACTTTTTCAACTTTAGCACACGTGCACCTGGGTGTTGGTAGAGGGTAGGCCAAATAATGGCTTATCAATCTGCATGTGGGCAAGCTCCCCCTCCAAGAAACCTTGAGGAACTAATTGCCAGCTGGTGTTGGAGAGGGCAAAATAATAACAGCAACATATTTTCACAAGTCACCCAGACTCTGCCTCAAGGAAAGACTACTATGGTAGTTTTTTCTGGGTAAAAGGCAAGTTAGCCAAGTAGAATGTGTGCTGGTATGAAATGTCCCAATTTGACTACTTGGTTTAACCATTCAGTGTCGATGTAACTTTGGACAAGTTATCTAGTCTTTCCCTTAATGCTTTCTTCCCTACAGCTGGAGCCATTATGTAGCGTACGCTTGTCGAGTAACTAGGATATACCTATTAGTTACCAGGAAAGCACACAGCAAGTGCTCCAGTAGTTATTATAAAACCTCTAGTGGAGGGGGTGGGGATTTAGCTCAACGGCATAAGCGCCTGCCTTGCAAGCGTGCGGTCGTGAGTCTGATCCCCGGTACCGATTTAAAAAAAAAAAAGAAACTCCAGTGGAATAAGGAAGTGAAAAAAAGAACGACCCATCACACAGTAGGTTAGGGATTCAGGTACGACTGGAATACTGTAGTACAACTCTCCTGATTCCCACTTAGGGCTCCATTCCTTCTTCAGAGTTCTTGATATTCATGACAAGAAAGGGTTGATCGAGGGAAGTGTGCACGAAAAGACAGGCACAAGAGTTTGAAGGGCGAATCGCAGCTTCTGTACAGTATGAAACTGATGAGGATATCCCTATAGATTCACTAACTTTTGGAGTTCCAGGGTATCTAGTTCCTAGGAGGAAAGCTCTTTCTATTGCATCTTGGGAGTTGTGGCCGGCCCCGATGCATGTAGGGACAGTAGTCCTTTCCTTCCCCCGCTTCAAACACCGCCTTCGTGCCATCTTTCCCAGTAAGCTCCGCGGCAGCTCAGCTGATTGGCTGCACTAAGAGCTGGCGGCCCAGCCGGCAGCGGTTACTGGTGTTTCCGGTACGAAGCCAGAGCGGGGACGCCGCGGAGATCGCGGTGAGATGCGAGAAGCGGCGCGGGTGGGACGAGACAATACGAGTCTGTGGACCAGAACGCATCTGCTACAGAGTGTGTGTGTCGGGGGGTAATCCCGCCGGCTCCTCGCGTGGGTTGTGGCGGGGCCGGCGTGTTGCGCATGCGCGGGCATGCCGAGCGGCTGGAGGGCGCGAGGGGTGCGGGTGGCTGCGCGCGCGCAGGGGCCCACGTGGGACGGGGGGCGGGGAAGCGTCGGACTCTTGCGTCCCTCCACGTCAGTCGGCCGTCTGGAGCCAATCTGGCTCTTGGCCTTCCGTGGGGGAGCCTTGTAGTGCAGAGAAGTGTCTTTGGAAGAAAAAAAGGCGTTTTTCTACCCTCCAAGAGCAGTGTCTCGAAAGCCTGCCAAGGCACGCCAGGGTTCCCTGACTACCCAGAGACCGAGTATTGCTGGCTTCCTCCAGTGAAGGCCAGCCGGTTTGTTTCAAGAAGCTTTGTGTTCCTGGTGTTAGGATTTTGGATCCAGGCTGTGAAGAATTTTGAAGTCTGGGAAATAGCAACTGTACACGTTCTTAAGGATCTGCTCTTAACCTAGCGCTGCATATCACAATGAAGAACCAAGACAAAAAGAATGGGGCTGCCAAACAGTCCAACCCCAAAAATACTCCGGGGCAGCCAGAAACGGGACCGGAGGGAGTCCACGGAAGGCCCAGCCAGTCGCCTCCAGCAACAGAAGCTGAAGGTTCCACCAGCCAGGCGCCTGGGAAGACAGAGGGTGTGTGCCAGCTCTGCTTTTCTGGCGGGCAGGGGGAGGAGTTTGTGGTACCGCCTTCACTTAGAGGCTGAGGCCACTGTTTACCCAGGCAAAAGGAAATGAAGAATAAGGAGACAGTGCTTGGGGAGGTGGCAGGGTGGGAGCAGGCTCTAAAAAGAGTAAATCAGGTGCCAGTCAAATGAACCTCCCCGCCAGCAAAACCCTGTCCAATCAGAAAACACCTCAGTTACAGTAGGTGATTGCTTTTCATATTTGAGGTATTACTGGATTTATTTGAACAGCAAGAAATGGCTTTTGTGGGGAAGGCTACCGACTAGAAATAGAGCTGCTGCATGCTAGCCCTTCATCATTAAAACTTAATAGGATTTACATATTTGACTTATGTTCCTAACAAATATGTTTGGGTGGTAGTAAGACATAGTTACATCATTTTAGGGGCTGGGGATTTAGCTCAGCGGCATAAGCACCTGCCTTGCAAGCAGGCGGTCCTGAGTTTGATCCCCGGTACCGATAAAAAAAGACATAGTTACATCATTTTATAAATAAATCATTTGAGCTTTAAATTGAGTAATAAATAAAGTTATTTTATAAGTGAGTAAATTGAGGCAACATTTAACCCAGGCTAGTGAGTTTGGCTGGGCCCACACATACCCAAATAATCTCACTCTATTCTATTTCTCATCGTTTCTTGCTATAGGGGCTCAAGCCAAAACATCACAGTCTGGGGCCCTCCGTGATGTCTCTGAGGAACTGAGCCGCCAGTTGGAAGATATATTGAGTACATACTGTGTGGACAACAATCAGGGTGGCTCAGGTGAAGATGGAGCACAGGGTGAACCCGCTGAACCCGAAGATGCAGAGAAGTCCCGGACCTATGCTGCAAGGAATGGGGAGCCTGAGCCAGGGACCCCAGTAGTTAATGGCGAGAAGGAAACCTCCAAGGTGGAGCCAGGCACAGAAGAGATCAGAGCAAGTGATGAGGTCGGAGATCGGGACCACCGAAGGCCACAGGAGAAGAAGAAAGCCAAGGGTCTGGGTGAGAGAAGGCAGTTACTCATAAGGCCGGTGAAGGGAGGGAGTTTGGACCTGTCATCCCATGGGCTAGCCTGTTCTGCCAGGCAGGATTCAGAGGAAACTGGAGAGCAGCAGGTCTCCCTAGTTTAATCCGAACCAGGACTGCAAGTTTACAGCATTGAGGTGTACTGTGCAAGGCCTGCTGACCTTTTGAGCAGGTGGAGGCTAAAATCCAACCTCCTCTCTCTTTGAAAAAAATGGAGAGCCAATGGTCTAGATAAACCCTGTGCCAGTTAGCGCCACTTCTTTTTTTTTTTTTTTTTTTTTTTTTTTTTTTTTTTTTTGTCTTTTTCCTTTTTATCGGTACCAGGGATCGAACCCACGACTGCCTGCTTGCAAAGCAGGCGCTTATGCCGCTGAGCCCCCAGCCCCCAGTTAGCGCCACTTCTAACTGCTGTGTGCTGTTGGACGTGGCCTTACTCAGTCTGGGTCTTAGTTCCCATTCATCTAACAGTAAGAGAACTGGACTAAACCACAGTGGAAACTCAAATATCTACATAAGCCAGGCTGCTCTGGGGACTTGATAAGGACCAAGAAAGGGCTTGTTTCCTCCAGAAGGTTGGCTGTCTCTTGGTTAGTTCCCTGTTCTCAACTGATTGCATACTCTCAACTGACTAGTTGAACAGTTGGCAACTAAAATGGTAAGAGCCAAAAATGGGGACCATCAGAGTAACTCCTGAACAGGCAAGGAGAAAGAAAAAGTGACAGGCATTCCACAGGGGATATATGTAGGAGTTTTTAGAACCTAGGTGAGGTTACAATACACTCAGGTGGTTTTCCTCCAACCCTGACCCATTCTAATTTTTTTTTTTTTTTTTTTTTTTTTTTGTCTTTTTGAGACAGGGTCTGCTATGCAGTTCAGGCTGGCCTTGAGGTCACTTTGTAGCCCAGGCTGGTCTCGAACTCTCAATGATCCTCCCACCTCAGCCTCTTCGAGTGCTGGGATTACAGGTGTGAGCCACCACGCCTGGCTCTCCCATTGTAATTTAAAGAGGGATTTTGGATGTGGAATAACATATGGAAGAAATACTCATTTTTTTTTTTAAAGCTTACTGTTTAGTTAGGTCTGTTGATAGTTCAGTTAATTTCTTTCTTTTTTTTTTTTTTCCTTTTGGTACCAGAAATCAAACTTACAACCTTGCACTTACTAGGCAAGCACTTGAGCCACTGAGCTAAATCCTTGCCTATTTCTTAAGGAGACCAAGAGTCCTGTTCCTTTTTGGATTCTACCTTCAATGAACTTCTTTGCTTTAAAATAGTAGTCCAAGCCGGACATGATGTCTCACACTTGTAATCCCAGCACTCGGGAGGCTGAAGTGGGAGGATTGTTTCGAGTTCAGGACCAGCCTGGGCTACAAAGTAAGCTCAAGGCCAGCCTAAAATGCATAGTGAGACCCCATCTCAACAAGACCAAAAAAATAAATAAAAAAAAAACACTAGTCCAGTGCCATGGGGATACCGTCTGTCAGTTGGTAAAACAGGCAATTTTTTCTCCTACTAGTGTCCACTAAGGACATTACACAGGTATTCCATGATTCATTTGGTAAACATTTAATGAGCATGTGCTCTGTGGTGATATTAAGACAGAACTGGTTTGAGTTGGTCCCAACCATCATGAAACAGCTAGCCTAGAAGGGAAGGCAGCCAGATCAACAAGGAAAATGCAAAGTATTTTAAGAGAGGGCCAGCCGGACATGGTGGTGCACACCTATACTGTAATCTCAGCACTCAGAAGGCTGAGGCAGAAGGATTGCCCCAAGTTCAAGGCCAGCCTGGACTACATAGTGAGTTCAAGGCCAGCCTGAGCTACATAAGGAGATACTGTCTCCAAAAAAAAAGCAAAGGCTGCCTGTGTGTTCATGAGAGTAGGCCACCTGCCTCTGCCCAAGAAGAGGATGCATGCTTTTGTTCCCTGTGCTTTATAGGGAAGGAAATCACGTTGCTGATGCAGACACTGAACACGCTGAGTACCCCAGAGGAGAAACTGGCAGCGCTGTGCAAGAAGTATGCTGAACTGGTCAGTTTGCCCCATCTGCTGCTGCCCTCCCTGCATTTGGAAAGTCATCAGGCTACCTGATGTGGGGGTAGGGATGCAGAGGCAGGTGGCTTGCTTAATTCCTATTCAGTCCTTTTTAAATTTTATTGTATGATTTTTTTTATGCATGCTTAGTATATAATGTTTGCATTCATCTTAGGGAATAGGTACATGTATTTAATATATTTTAACTCTTTAATTCCCTTCCCTATCTAGATCTCCTTCCCACATTTTCTTTTCCTTCTAAGTCTTTTGGTTCATATTTATAATACATAATGATTACACTGACTTGATAGTTGGTACATGTACACAACAGATTTTAATTCTTTCCACATCAGCCTTTCTTTGAACCTTTCTCCCATCTGGTAAGTGGGGAGTCATTTCTCAGTCATCCATTTCAGGGTTGACACTAAGAGGGAAAACTAGACTTTTCTTGAAGAAAATTTCTCCAAGAATGATTCCCAGATGATAGAGCTCTAGCTCCTGGCCTGAGTCCCAGATACCATGTGATCCTTGTCTTATGTGCTTCTGTATGTATCTTCCTGAAATACAGAGATGCATAGGGCTGTTACCACATTTGAAATTAACACTATTCGTTTGACACTCATTATTCTTTCACTTCAGAGCAGTTCTTCATCTCATTGCCTTCCTTTCTTCCCCCATGACCAGATTGTTCTATATGATGCCCCAACTTAGGCTTTGTTGATTGTCCATTTACTTCCTTAGTTCCTGTAAGTAAAGTGGAATTTAACTCTGGGAGATTGATCCGATTCTTATTCAGTTTTGTTTGTTTTGTTTTGTTCTTTGGGTACAGTACTAGGGATTGAACCCAAGGGCTTATGAACTGAGCTAAATACCCACTATTTTTGGCTTTTTTTTTTTTTTTTTTTTGGTACCGGAGATCGAACTTAAGACGTTGGGCTTGCCAGGCAAGTGCTTATGCCGCTAAGCAAAATCCCCGGCCCTATTTTTGGCTTTTATTTTGAGATAAGGTCTTACTAAATTGTTCAGGATGAGTTTGAACTTGCAATCCTGTTGCCTCAGGCTCCTAGACTGCTGGGACCACCACACCTGGCTCAGTTTCAGTTTTTGTGACAGAATTCTTTTTAGGTTTTACTCTATGCTTCAGAAGAAGTATCAACTGTGGTCTATCCAACTTTTAGTGTTACAAACATTGAATGGAAAAAATAAATGTTGAGTGGATTGGTGGGAGGCGGAAGCAGGGGGAGCCAGGTTCATCTTTTATCAGGCTTCCTATTAGACTTTGAGTGAAGATTTATCCATTGATGGTGGATTTTTTTGGTACTAGGGATCAAACTCACAATGTTGTGCTTGCCAGGCAAGCATTGTGCCTCTGTACCTATTTATTTTAAAATTATTTCATCCTAACTAAATTTCTTAGCTGAATTCTGTAAGGAACTTACCTATAAATTAGAAGAGATCATATCTGCTTAATGAGATTATTTTAAGAACTGAAAAAATGGGCTGGGGATTTAGCTCAGTGGCATTAAGCACCTGCCTTGCAAGTGTGTGGTCGTGAGTTTGATCCCTGGTACCAATAAAAATGAAAAAGACCAAAAAAAAAAAAGAACTAAAAAAAAAAGATAGAAAGGAAAGAGAAAACCTTCATTTAGAGTAACCTGGCCAGAAAAAGATTGCTAATGCAAAGGAAGAGGAAATGAGTTGCCAGAATGATGTTCTGGGTAGAGGAGGGTGATTGGTATATAGAGAGGAGCTGAGGCCCAATGCATAGGGTTTGACCTTGGTACCAGGTAGCCAGGACCATAACTAGAGAAGACAGACATGGGTGGCCAGTGGATGGGGAGCTTGTTTTGCTGCTGGTATAGTATCATTTGTGTTCCCAGGGAAATGAGAAAGGTGGCTGTGGCTGTCTCAGGGAACAATTGAAGGGAAGTACAAAACAGTTGTCTGGAAGAGGACTATGAGTAGCATGAGAAATACAGATTTGCTGGACAGAGATCTTCCTGAAATTGGTCATGAATTGAAAGTAATTCTTCAAGCAGGATTGTGTCAGTCTTGGTACAGAGTAAGCAGGAAGGTTCTTTACTAGGGCTGAGAGGGAGGCTGAGGGAATGGAAGGGTATAAGAAGGTAAGTGGTTATTTAAAGGAAGGCAAATGAAGGTTAGTTGGGTCAATAGAAGTCCAGTGGAGTAAGATACTTTCTGAAGACCACAGATAATGGTAAGGATGAGCTAGAAAGGGAAGGTGACGGTCTGCCCTGGAGTCCTTCAAATTGAGGTACCTGATAACAAAGGCTAAACCTGTGTTGCCCAGGACAGTAACCTCTACCTAAGTGATAAGTGATTTACCTGAATTTCTATGTGCTAAAGTATAAAATACATATTAGAACTTGGTGGGATGGCACACGCCTGTAATCATATCTTAGGAAGCTAATAGGTTCAATCCCCAAAATACCAAAAAAAGAAAAAAAATAACAGTTTCATCTATTTGTTTTTACTTTTTTAGTATACTCGAATATTTTAAATTACATATGTGGGCAGCATTTTATTTTTGCTATTCAGGAACAGATCATAGGAGGGGAGCCAAGTTGGAGAAAAGGAGTAGGTTTGTGAAAGAAGTTAAGAACTAAGGGTTGAGAGTCAAGATTGTCTACCAGAATTAAAATAGCCAATAGCTATTAAAAATTAATTAAAATTAGGGGCTGGGGATTTAGCTCAGCGGCATAAGTACCTGCCTTGCAAGCAGGCGGTCGTGAGTTCGATTCCTGGTACCAATAAAAATGAAAAATACAAAAAAAATAAATAAAATAAAATAAATTAATTAAAATAACAAGACATTGTCTCAAAAAACAAAAAATAGACAACAATAAGCTAGGTGTGGTAGCACACTCCCATAATCCCAGTACTCTGGAGGCTGAAGCAAGAAAAGCACCACAAGTTTGAAGTTAGCCTGGGCTACAGAGCAGACTCCCTCTCAAAAAAATAAAAATTCCAAAAATTAATTAAAATAGCCAAGAATGAGAATAGGAATCATGATGGAGAAAGAAATGGTGAACTACAGTTGAAGTCTGCAGGGAATGTGAAGGTGTGACCAGGTGTGAATAGCCCTGCAGGGCTTATCCAGGGCTATGAGTATCCCATAAGACGGGGTCATGCAGTGGTTTCACATGGCTTGAAAGCCCAGTCTCTCTGGTCAGAGCTGGGGTAGAAAGTGGGATCTGCTGGCTGTAATACCCTGCTCGTCCTAGTGAGAATCCATACCTGCACCTCGCCAAAGGCCCTTGGATTAGCACAAAGGTTCTGGGAGCAGTGCATGCCAGATTAGCACTGTCAAATTTATGAGAGCATATCAGGTCTGTGCTCCTTCAACTGGAGTCAACAGAAAGGCCAATGCGCAGCCGGGCTCTGACGTCCCTAGAGTTCCATAGGATCCTCACGTAGGGCCTCCCAAACGCTCATTGCCCTCCTTGTCCCCAGCTGGAGGAGCACCGGACTTCACAGAAACAGATGAAGCTCCTACAGAAGAAACAGAGCCAGCTGGTACAGGAGAAGGACCACCTGCGTGGAGAGCACAGCAAAGCTATCCTGGCCCGCAGCAAGCTTGAGAGCCTTTGCCGTGAGTTGCAGCGGCACAACCGTTCCCTCAAGGTAGGCACGGGGCCAGGCATGGCACTGGTTTCTTTAGAATCACTCGTCTTCCTGGAAATACATTCCCAGTAATGCCCTAACCATTTGACATGTTCTTGTGTTAGATAGATAGAGACTAACGTGCTGAAAGCACTGTAAATGTAGTGGCCTCACCGCTTCTTATTTAGGTAGTGGCTCCCTGATGTTAGCTTTTCCACTGTGTAACAAATACCGGAAATACTCAACTTATAATGAGATTTTTTTTTTTTTGTACTGGGGATCAAACTCATGACCCCCTGCTTGCTAGGCAAGTGCTTATGCAAAAACGCTTATTTTGGCTCACAGTTCTGGAGTTTCCAGTTCATACTAGGGTACACCCAGGTTTTTTTAGGCCTCCCAGTAGAGGTGGTCAGACGTCATAGTGGGAGCATGGACCAGAGCGAACGGTTCATCTCATGGCTGGGAACTGAAAGGTTTAGGAAGAGAACAAGAGTGTCATGGTCTCCTTTAAGAACATACTTTTAATTAGTCATAAAAACACCTCTTAAGTGTCCCACCACCTCCCAGTAGTGCTGTGCTAGGCATCACATCTTTATTATGTAAACTTTTATGGGATATGTAAGATGCAAATTATAAAGCAGAAGTAGTAGTACACACCTGTAATCACAGCACTGTAGGAGGCTGAGGCAGGAGGATCATAAGTTCAAGCCCAACCTGGGTGATTTAACAGCTTAGTAAAAGCCTGTCTCAAAATAATGAATGAAAAGTTATGGGAATGTATGTCAGTGTGAAGGCCCTGGGTTCAGTACCCAGTACTGCTAAGTAAATATCCAAACTGTATTGCTAGTACGCACATACCTAGTCCTTGTCCCAGAGGTTAATCAGGAACCTGGGTCTTTTACCTGTGGTGCTTCTCCCAAGCCGAGGTCAGTCTGTGGTTAAAACCCAGTCACTGCTGTGATTTCCAGGTGGTTTTTCATGAACACACCCTTACCAACTTAGATATCTCATACAATATTTGAATCTGTGGACATAGATATTTTGTTTTGCTTATTTCTAGTTCATGGTTATCTTTGAAAACGTTATAAGCAGTGTAAACTAGTTTTACATGCAATTTTTAAACAAAATTATAGTTTATACCTTCCTTTTTTTCTAATATATTTTCTCTCCATTTCAAGTAGAGCTACCTCTATTAGCATTTTGGGTGAATATGTTGTAATTTCTTAGGGTCCTAGTTAAGATACTATATTTTGGGTTTGGGGGCTGGGGATTTAGCTCAGCGCATAAGTGCCTGCCTTGCAAGTGTGTGGTCGTGAGTTCAATCCCTGGTACCGATAAAAAAAAAAAGACAAAAAAATATATATATATTTTGGGTTTCTTTGCAAATTTTCTATATTACATATAGACTTGCAGTAAAAATTCTTGGTATATATCTCCCTGACCAGTTTATCTGTAGGATAAATCTCAAAAGTCAAAGAATATGTGGATCCTAAGTATTAATAATTGAGTTTTTCAGACTGCCTTTCACAGAATACCCCCTCTCAACAATGTCTGATTGCCTAGTTTTGTGCAATCCTGGGTGTTACTAAATTTTAACAACTCGGTCTATAGGGAAAAGGGAAAGACAAAAGCACATCAGAGCAGGACACTTAATCTGAAGTGTGGAAGAATAGACTTTGCAAGATTTAAGATGCTTCAGACTGGCACTTAATATATGTTGCCTGCATTTTTCTAGGAAGAGAATCTCACAGGATGTCACCTGATTTACAGAGGGGTGTATTAGGAAGCCCTTTTGCATGACATCCTGGAGCCTGGCTGCTCCTCACCTTGGGAGCAGGGAGGGCTATTGGCAGAGACTGCTCATGGACTATTTGGGGGGCCCTTGCACAGCTGGCTAGGGAACAGTGGATGATGGTGCTGGGACTGGCTTCTCTGCCCAGGAAGAAGGCGTACAGCGGGCCCGGGAGGAGGAAGAAAAGCGCAAGGAGGTGACCTCACACTTCCAGGTGACACTGAACGACATTCAGCTGCAGATGGAACAGCATAATGAGCGCAATTCTAAACTGCGCCAAGAGAATATGGAGTTGGCTGAGCGGCTCAAGAAGCTGATTGAGCAATACGAGCTGCGCGAGGAGGTAAGGTTTTTGCAGGTAGGGGTCATGACCAGCAGATTGTGTGGCTCTGGGTGTGTGCCAGGCATCTGGAGAGCACTCTGCTGGCTTCATCTTGTTCCTCCTTCCTTGAGAAGAGTCTGATATCATCCCTGATAGATGAAGAACTGAGGTGTAGAGAAAAAACTCACCTAGAGCCACAGTCAACAGTGCCTTGTCCCAAACAACTGAGCCAGGTATTTGTTGGAATTAGAATTGTCCACATTTTAGAGTGATGTTATATACACATACTGTGTGTTGCATCAGGTGCTCCCCCAGCAAGGTCTTGAGACACAGTACTAGGTAGTGAAGTTTCTGCATACTCACCAGTGTTATAGACCGTGTCACAGTGGTGCAACTAAAGTTTGTCGGCTAGCTTATGACCTTTATAGAACTTGGAATTACGAATGAGACATGGTGATGCACACCTATAGTCCCAGGTACTCTGGAGACTGAGGCAAGAGGATTAAAAGTTCAAGGCCAGACTGGGAAATTTAGCAAGGCCCTGTCTCAAAAAGAATTTTTAACAGCTTATATGTACCCCAGTGGTAGAACACTTCTCTAGCTTGCTCTATCACCAATACCTTTTCTTTTCTTTTCTTTTTTTTCAGAGGAAGCTGGATGTAGTGGCACATAACTATAATCTTAGCACTTGAGAGGCTGAGGCAGGAGAAATACTATAAGTTCAAGATCAGCCTGCACTACGTAGCAAGACCCTGTCTCCAAAAAAAAAAAAAAAAAAAATTGCAGAGGAGGAGCTAAACCTGTGTTCACTGATGGACTTCAGGGCTATCCACTGATTGCTGGCTGCTCCTAACACTTGAAAGAATAGGGTGCCACCACCTTGGCTAACACTGGCTGCTAACCCAGGCATTTGACTCTTTGAATCCCCTATGTTAGTCATCTAGATGTTCTGAGCCTCTGTTTTCCTTGTTATAAGAAGGGACATATACCAGTATCTTACAGGGCTGACAAGAGAACCTGCTATAAATCAGGTCCTTTCCTAGGACCAAGGTGAGATAGGCAAGGCTCTGCCTCTTGAGTTCACAGGCCAGTTTGGTTATCCTACTTGCGTGGGCCCTTAAAGGGATTCCTTGACTACCCTTTCTTGTTCATCTTTTGGGAACAAAGCTGCATGTCATATATTGGTTTGGGAATAATTGGTCTGGCTCTCTGCACAGGGAGACAAGAAGACTTTCTGAGCCATTAGAGTGAGATTCTAAGAATCTGAAGGCCTCCTTTACCTCCCCTGCCCTTTCTCTACCTTTTTCTTTCTCCTTCCTCTCACTAAAAGCAGAAAGGACTTGGTGTTACTTGTGGAGGAGGTGGAGGAGGTAGAGGTGTAGATCTACTACTAGGCCCTGTGGTTTTTTATTTGTAGTCCTCCTCAGGTTTGGACGCTACCACGGACGCTACCACCTGCTACCTCTGAGCCTCTGACCTTTAGATTACAGGTGATTAGATCCATCTTCAAGACACCGTCCCTTCTCCATCCAGAAAAGAAATCAGATTCCCTACATTCTTATTTCATTAAGTCCAGGGAACTTTGTCTTTGAAGTAGCACTTCAGTCTGGCACCTTGTCTGTCCCTCTTTCTCTTGTTGTCTAGGTTCCTAGTGCTCTTGCAATAGTCAAGACAGACATTTCTAGTACATATCAAATCTTCACTTATAGAAAGATACAAAGAATCTCTGCCAACTAAGCTAAACTGTTTGTAGAAATATTTTTGCTCCTTCACACTTACAGGGGGAGCTGGACTAGAAATTCAGCCAACTCCTTTAGAAAAAACATGAGGTTAGAAAGTTGACTTTCCAGGCACATAGCATCCTCACCATGTGGTACATGTAAGAGTTAGCATATCAGATCAAGATGGGCTGAGGGAGGTATTCTGGTCTCTGCAGTCGGAACCTCCCTGCAATACTAGGCCTCCCTGAGGAAGGGAGCTCCTGACAAACACTCTTCTGCCATCTTTCCTGCAGCATATTGACAAAGTGTTCAAGCACAAGGACCTACAGCAGCAGCTGGTGGATGCCAAGCTCCAGCAGGCCCAGGAGATGCTGAAGGAGGCAGAGGAACGGCACCAGCGGGAGAAGGACTTTGTGAGGCTCAGGCTGGGGTTGGTGGTGTGAGAAGGTGGGCTGGTTCTAGCTTAGCTTAGGGTTACGTTTGTATGGATAGAATGATTGCTGTCTGCCAGGCCAGTCACTGCTTGCCCAGGCAGCAGTCTGAGAGCAGGCACCCTCAGTGGGTCCAGTGCTTGTCGTAAAAGAGGGCCAGACACAGCCCCTGGGGCTCCTGACATTCTGGGTTCATATCTTGAAAATAGCTCCTGAAGGAGGCAGTGGAATCCCAGAGGATGTGTGAGCTGATGAAGCAACAGGAGACCCACCTGAAACAGCAGGTAAGATGGTGTGGAACTGACCCTGAGCCTTCCAAGTTTCCTTCACATGGCCTCATTCCTGAGGTAGGAGGATCCCCACAAGTTTGAGGCCAACCTGAGCTACCTAGTGAGTTCAAGGCCAGCCTGGACCACATAGTAAGACCCTGTCTCAAAAAAAAAAAGTTTTTTAGAAGGTAGTATCTCCATAGAATTGTGTCAAAAAGCCGAGGAAAGGTCAGTGTATTGACCAGAGATGCCTAGTCTTACCTATGGACTTCTGTCTGCCACAGCTTGCCCTGTACACGGAGAAGTTTGAAGAGTTCCAGAACACACTTTCCAAAAGCAGCGAGGTATTCACCACATTCAAACAAGAGATGGAAAAGGTACCGATGATCTAAGCTGGGCATGACTGTTGGAGCACGTTCAGAACTGAACATGGGTCTGCTTTAAGAAGGCCCAAACCCAAGGTGCCTCACAGGAAATTATTCACAGAAAGTGCGATTGCCATCAAAAAGGGGCAGTTGAGAGGGATTGCAGCCTTATCGGGGGTATTTTGTTGATGCTGGGCTTTTTTGTTGTTTTTTGGTGTTGGGAGTCAGAGTCAGTGCCTTGTCCAGACTAAGCACACACTCTACCTCTGAGCTCCACTCCCAGCCCGAGTGGTAGATGTTTCACTTGAGACTTCCCGCTTCCCAGTGGCAAAGTTGCACACATGTGGGAGACACAGATACATGGACAGCTCAGCTTAACCGTTTCTTTCTATCTACCATGTAACCCAGATGACTAAGAAGATCAAGAAACTGGAAAAAGAAACCACCATGTACCGGTCCCGGTGGGAAAGCAGCAATAAGGCCTTACTTGAGATGGCTGAGGAGGTGGGTAGAGGTGACGAACCCCGGGCCAGAGAGGGCACCTTCCTGTGTATCAGGTCCTTTCTGCTCCTTTCTGGTAGTCATTGATGTTGCATGAAGTGCATATAGACTGTTCATGCATTCAGAGGCAGTGTCAGCTGTCTGCCCATGGGAGGTGGCAAGCTTCATGGTAGTCTGCATGGAACCCGGGGAAAAAATGGAAGAAAGAGCTGAAGGAGCAGGAAAAATGGTTGCTGACCATGCATGAGGTTTGCATGAAAAAGCAACCCAATAATTTCTTACTTCATGACTTGTGATATAAAAGAAACAACACTGGTTGAGTAACAACTACAGGCTTGCTGAACGTATTATTAGATTTGCTGGTTCGGTGTGTCTTGAGACTTGTGGTTTTGTTAGTAGTGCTGTTTTACAGATGAGATGGACTCAAAAGCTGTGTGCTTTGCCGGTATCATCTGCTAAATGACCAGAGAAATACATTGTGTGACCTCTGGGCCATGCCCATCTCTGTACTACATTGCCCCCAGATAAACCAAGGTTGTTTGCTAAGAGGGGCCAGGTTCTGACTCTTGGCTGTGCTCAGCCTTATTGAAGTGAATGTTTCCCACCAAGAGGTATTGTTGAGTTGAAGAATTGCTGGGATGGTCCTAAAGGCCTCATTTTTCTCTGTAGAAAACTCTGCGGGACAAAGAGCTGGAGGGCCTGCAGGTGAAAATCCAGCGACTGGAGAAGCTATGCCGGGCACTACAGACAGAGCGCAATGACCTAAACAAGAGGGTACAGGACCTGAGTGCTGGTGGCCAGGGCCCCCACGCTGACAGTGGTCATGAGCGGAGACCAGAGGTTGCCACTGCAGCCAAGGAGCAGAGCAGTGAGAGTCCCAGGGCTCAAGCACCCAGTTCCTCAAAGGCCACAGAAGCTCCCGGCTGCCCAGAAACACCGAGCACAGAAACAACAGGGCCTCAAGAGCCCACCTCTGCCACCACCTAGGGAGCCTGATGCTTGAGGCATGCTGGGAAGGGAGCAGCACCCCAGCCAGGCCTGGCCCATACAAGGCTCCCATACCAAACAGCCAGTGCTGAAGTCAAGGTGTTCTGACCTAATAGGCCTCTGCCACTTTGCAGTTTTGGATTTTGTGGGTCAGTTTTACATACATATGGCATATGTGCAAGGCCTCGTGCATTTTCAACTGTAAGTGTACTGGGGGCTTGCACTGAAGATGGATGTACAGATGAAATCAGTGCTCCTCTAAGCTGAAGTGTCTTAAGAGGAGGTGTCATCTGTAGCTGCCATCACAGTGAGCTGGCAGGGCAAGCGACCTGAGCATTTCTTGCCCAATTTCAGGCTCAGACCCCTCCCAGCCCTTTAGAGCTCATGACGAGTAATATACCCAGTCCTGGATTGCATTCTGTTGTGAGCAGGGCTTGGGCAGCTCAGGCTTTTCTAGCTCTCACAGAGGTGTCATTGCTTCTCAGCCTGGGAATGCTGTCACTCTGCAGAGCCTCAGCATGGACCTGGAGAATGATTCACTGTGGGGTGATGTGCTGGTGGTAATCCCCTGGGGCACTGCTTCCCTTGCCCTCCTGTAGTGCCAGGACCAGGCCAATGTTGCTTCTCAGTAGCCTTATCGTTCACAGGTGCCTCTCTAGTGTGCACAAATGATTGGCAAGAGATCACCCAAAGGATTCTTTCTGAAGGCATTTTGTTTTGCATGTGACAATTTATAGGAGGATTTTCTGAGGAAGGAAGAGGATGCTGGAATAGTCCTGGGTGCCTGGCCTCCAGTGTCCTGCTCCTCACCACACCTCTAGACTCCTTAGCCATGTTGGTGTTGAGATTTCCTCCTTGAAAGGGAAGATCAGATTATTTAAGAGAAAGAAAGTGACTGCCGTGAGCTTGCCTATGAGTTTCAATCCTGGGAAGCCACCATAGATTGTTATCACCACCATCTCCATGCAGCAATTGCTGAGCCCCGGTCCTGCCACCCCCTTTGGCTTTATGGTTCTTTTTCTTCTTCCTGCACACCCACCTCTTCTCCCACCTCCCAATGTGCAATCCTTGAGGTTTGCCCTAGTTCACATTTCTTTATCTCCTTGCCCAAGAAATGAGAGTCCTCCTTGAAATTCTACTTCTTCCTGTGTGGGAGCTCCCATCTGTTACCTTGACAGAATGGAATCCTGCAATAGACCGAGCCCAGAAGGTCCACCAAATAGCACTCTACCTGACTGACCCAGGACTATGTACTGTTACCACGTACTGTGTAGCAACTCTGATGAAAGCTCTTGTTGCACACTTGGCAAGGTATTAGTCATTCTTTGGACAGAGCAGTTTTCTGGGGTAGTAGGATGCATCTTGAAAGGAGGGTTCTGCAGAGCTGGGTACAGTGCAGCTGAACTAAGGAAGCCATAGACCAACATGGGACATGGGCAGTTTTGGTTCATGAAGAATACTGTGTACTTCCGAAGCATGTTTTTACTTAGACCAGACATGGCAAAAGAATCCATCCTGGCCAGGTATGGTGGCACATGCCCTATAATCTCCTCATTCAGGAGGCTGAGGCAGGAAGATTGCTGCAAGTTTAAGGCCAACCTGAACTGCAGAGTGAGACCCTGTCTCAAAAAGACCAAACATGAATAAAAGAATCCTTACTTTGCTCCCTGGCAGGTGCCACTGACTTACCCCAGTTTATTCTACTAGCCTCTGGTATACCCTTAATGCACTTAAGATGCCCAGCAATAGTTTGAGTGTTGAGACCTCTTTGCCATCCCCAGCTATGATCTGCTCTCCTATGGAGAGATGTTTTGCAAGATCTTTGTCTTCCCCTCTTTGAAGTCCCATGGAATGGTCCCTTCTTCCTTAGTAAGGCCTCCCCCAGCCCTGTACTAGGCTAAAGAACAAAACCTGTCAGCACTACAGAGAATTTGTTAAGCTGTGGAGGTTTAGGGAAAAGACAGATTTGCCCCCTTGGAGAACATGGAAAGGCCCACAGTGGCCCGTGTAATTGCTTGCCTCACTTCAGCTACCTCTTAAAGCCCTTGGGGGGTTGGAACTATTGGATCCCAGGGTGGTAGGATGGGAGGCTGTGATGTGCAGGTGGCCCAGCTGGGCTCTCTGTCAGGAATGTGAGCCCTAGACCAGGGAGAGCCTTGGTTTTTGGCTCCATCCATTTCAAGGCACCCCTGCCAATCTGTATAGTGGGATCTCTTGTCTTTTTTTTTTTTTTTCTTTCTTCCTTCCTTTCCATTGACCAAATCTCATCACTACAGCTGCTCTGCTTGCTCTGCTTTCCAAAGTCAACCCAGGTGCTTGGGTGCTGCCCACCCTAGCCAGGTGTAGGGGGAGTGGCCTGTGGATGAGAGCTCGTCTCTTCCTCACCTTCCCAGGTGAGGCCTGCGTACATGACCTCAGTTTTAGGACCAAGAGCTGTGTTGGTTTCTTAGATTGTTAGCTTCTCCTCCGGGGACCATGGTTAGTGAGGCTCAGAGCGCCAAGCCCTAGCTCTGCTAACGGTGACTCATGCTCAGGACCTTGTCCAGCTGAGCTTCATGCAGACCAGACTCCCAGAGGTGTCAGCAGCACTTTTTTACTTGCCATTTATTTTTCATGAGGTTTTTGGACCTTGGGCTGAGCTCAGGCACTTTCTGTAAGAATGTTATTTCTGTAAAGATGGCTATTTATCCCTCCTCCATCCCTATCATGGGGACCCTACTGAGGGTTAACCAAGAGGCCAATGGAGCTGCCCTGGTGGCGCCTGTGGAGAGGCTGAGGCCTGCCAAGCTGTTGCTCCAGCCCCTCCACCCTGCACAGCATAGAGGTAGTCACCCAGGACAGCAGGCACCTGCCTGGGGGAGAGAGCCGCCTCTGTCCCTGTAACTGCTTTCCTTATGGCCCCACCTGGCCGCCTAAACTTGTTTTAAAAGTTGTGCTGACAGCTCCCTTTCCCCTTTTGGTATTCACAACAGCCAGGGACTTGATGTATTTTAAACCACATAAATAAAGAGTCTGTTGCCTTACATGTTCTAATCTCATATTTTTAGTTCTTGAGACGTCTCATTACATAGGCTGATCTTGAGCTCAGTATGATCCAGGCTGGCCTTGAACTGGCAGGCTTCCTGCCTCAGCTTCCATCTAGGCATGGGCCACCACACCTGGCTCTGTGACCTTTTGATGCTTCTGGATCATTTGGTTCCCTCCATCATTGCTGACTTGTCTGAATCTGCTGCCAAGTGGAGATACCATCATGTATCTCCTAGGCTGTGCTCCTGCCTTTCAGCAGTCACCACAAACTCAGGGCACTGACAAATCTGCTTGAGCTGCCTTTGCCCTTGTTGAAGTTGGCAAGATGCTCACATACATAAGAGCATCAAAGATGATTCACTCAATAGGTAAGTATTGCTACTAGCGTTGGGGGAATCTCAGGCTAGGAAGAGGAAAAAGATCCTTTTAAACACACAGCCCAACAGTGTATGCCTTTTAAGTATAGAAAGGCGTGGAGGTATAAGCCTATAGTTCTAATTTTGGGGGAGCCTGAAGCTGGAGGATCACAAATTTGCAAAGCCTGGGCAACTCTGTATAAAATTTATAAGGGGCCAGGAATGAGAGCACTGGGTTCAATCTCCAGTGTCTCAGGAAGCCAATGGTGTTAGAACAGGAGGTCCCTGCCTTCAACAAGGGAGAAAAGTAGATACCCAAAAGACCTGTGGATCTCCAGGGCAGGCAGAAATTTGACAACTTCCATGTATTTAAACAGTTCACCTGGGAATGTAGGTACACAGGAGAGGTAGAGAACAGATAAAGTTGTGAACCAACAGTTTGTACACCGAGTTAAGAACTCTGAGCCAGATCAGCCTGGGGTTTTGGCACCTATAATCCCAGCACTTAAATTCAAGTTCGGTTTGAACCACATAGCAAGACCCTATCTCAGGAAAAAAAAAAAAAAAATTGAATCAGATCTATTGGGCAAGGTGAATTCTCTGACCCACTCAAAAAATGAACAAGGACTTTTAGGTTCCTTTGCAGTTTTGCTTTTTGTTTTGTGGTTTTGGGGGGTGGGTTTGGTTTGCTTTTGTTTTCATTTTACTAGTTGGGACAGTCCAGCAGAGCCTCTGCCCCTTCTAGTCAGAGTCTTTACTATTATTGTTTTTGTACCAGGAATTGAACTCATGACCTTGTACTTGCCAGGCACTTGTCAGGGTCTTGATGGGTGTGCTAGCCACAATGATTGTAGTCAGAGATCCTCTGCAAGGGGTGAAGGATGCCACTCCATCTCCTGAAACTTGCACACAAACCAGCTCTAGGAATAACCAAGCCTCTGGCTCCCAGGGGAAGCAACTGAAGATGGAACCCCAGAGTTCTAGGTACTCTTGCCACTTTCCTCAGGAGCCCTGGCTCCACTGCAGCAAGCAGCTCTGATAGGGAAGGAGAGGGGCTTCTCTGTTGTCCTCCCTTCCTTGAAAAAGTCCTGCATTAATATCCTGCTTCCCGAGCATTGTGGAAGGTGGGAACACGGGGAGGGCGGCTTGTGCTGATGGTTACAGAAACAAAGCAGCCAAAGGAAGCCAGGAAGTGCCACGCCCAGTATGAGGTGGGGGATAGGGTAGTTGTGTGCTTCGCCCTGAGCTACTGGCTGGGCAGCCTGGCCAAGCATGACCCACTCTCCTTGTGGTATCAGATGCTGCTCTGGGGACTTGAGTGGGAGCCTCTGCCCAGTCTTTTAATAGCTGCCCCCCACATCCGACCTCCCTGGCTCAGCCTCCTCCCTGGTACTTCGGTTTCCCTTCTGGGTGCTGGAGTCAGGTGCCAGGGGATCTAGGAGTCTTATCTCTGATGTGGTGTACCCCACACCTGTCTGCCCAGGAGATGAAAAGAGGTTCTGTAACATCATCAGTGTTAGAATAGAACCCCGCCACCTACCAGCTATGATGTCCCTGGCTGGGGACAGTAGTAGTGCCCTGGAATCACTTTACTCGAAGTAAAAGGAAGCGATGACAGAGATGCTTCATGATTGTTATGGGGATTGAAATTTACATAAAATGCCCGGGGTGGGGGATGAATTAAATGTCTTGTGTACACATACCAACTCACCATAGTGAATGTAATCATAGTGTACTGAAAACACATATTAATAAAAATGTAAAATTAGCCAAGCAAGAAAACTTTTTTTCAAAACTTGTGGCTACATGGTTGTCCTCTCTTGCTTCTTCCCGGTTTTTTTATTTTTTGTTTTTTGTTCGTTTGTTTTTGTACCAGGGATCAAACTCAGGACCTCAGGCTTGCTAGCCAATTGCTTGCGCGGCTTGCGCTTGCCCTGACCCTTTTCCTACTTCTTAGTTATGTACTCTTTGTTTCCCCTTCTCCCGTCTGCTTTCTCAAGCGCTTCCCTCCTCCACCCGCCTCCTCCTTTCCTCCTCCTCCTGACAAAGCCACCTCCATTTTGTAAGGACCGTGCTTTCCCTCCTAAACTAACCGGAGGGAAAGGGTTTTAGAAATCGGTACCACACAGTCATCTTAGTGAGAGGTGGGGTGAGTGAGGAACCACTTACAGAACCTGGAGCCCCTCCTGTCACTCCACCCCCAGCCCAAAGGGGCCGCTTTCTCTTTAAATGCAAATCACCTCGCTCCAGTTTAGCCGCCGCCCGCTGTAGTACCCGGGAGGACGGCGCGGAGGACTGCGGGAACTTGCTGCTGCGAGGTATCACCATCATCACTCGGGACCCCACAACTCCAGGTCAGATCCCCCTGAGGAAGTGTGGGCGAGAGGGGACCTGATGACGCGCTGTGACGCTCCATTTGGGAGATCCTTTCTGCACCAGATTGGAGAGCTTGAGTGTGGGAAACAGGTCCCTGGTTGCCTCAGCTGTTCCCGGGCCAGCTGGGGCTCTTGCTCCAGTTCTGTCAAACCCCTTGCTGGGACACACTACTGTAGGGAGAGGCAAAGAGGTGACCCGATCTCCCCTCCACTGTGGCCCTGACCCATACAGTACCAGCCACCTTAATGCCTGTCCCTCCAGCATCCCTGAGCCTGGAGGCAGGCTTGGTGGCAGCAATCCAGAGTGAGAACCCTGGGGGAGGACCCCAGCAGACCAGAGGCTTGGGTTTCAGAGCTGCACTGGAGCCAGCTAAGCAGTGCCAGCCATGGGTGCAGCCATTGTTAAAGGCCCAGCCTGCCAGCTGTCTGACCACCCAGGCCAAGGACTTTCTCACTGGCAAGAGTCAATGGCTAGAAACTGTGCCATGGAACTTCGGGGCGTCCCTGGCATTTGTAGTTTGGAGTAAAGTAGAAGAGGGATGCAGGGGGAAGGGGGAGTCCTGCCCTGTGTGCCCTGGCTTCTTCTGCAAAACTTATCATGGTGGCCACTGCTTGACTCTCAGACCTTCCCAGAGACCCCACTCTCACCTGACTGCCTGTTCTGCCAGATTGGTCAGCATCTGCCAAGACATTTTCTAAACAGAATGAGATTTAGTGAAGACACCCTTAGTCCTTATCTGGGGCCCAGCCAGCTCATATCCACCCTGCCTCCCCCTCCATTTCCTCCTAGCCCCTCCCTTTCAGCCACCAGGAGTCCCAGGCACCAGGACCAGGAGAGCTGCATCTGGTCTAGTGCTTTGGGGCAGAAAGAGACAGAAACTGGGCGTTGGAAGGGCCTTTATATGCACATCCACGCTCCTAGTAGCAGACAATGGCATCAGGCCTTGTACAGATGAGGGGACAGAGGCCCTGACATTTGTGAGAAGTGCAAAGGGCCCTTTCTTTGTGGCTCTCAGGGGTTGCTGGGTGGGGGGATGACTTTGCCCTTCACCATCTTAGTGGAGTTGATTCTCTCCCAGGCCTGAGGCCCAGCCAGCATCCAATGGATGACAAAAAGAAGAAAAGGAGTCCCAAGCCCTGCCTGGCCCAGCCAGCCCAGGCTCCAAGCACACTTCGAAGAGTCCCAGTACCCACAAGCCACAGTGGCTCCTTGGCCCTGGGTCTCCCTCATCTGCCATCCCCCAAGCAGCGGGCCAAGTTCAAGAGGTGCGTGAAGGGAAGTTGGGCAAATGGAGAGGGCTCCCAACTGTGGGATGAGCACAGTAAGAAAGAAAGCAATGGGAGGGCCTTCCCTGGTGCTGATCCCAGCTGGTCCCTGAACACTCAGCGGTGACTCAGAGCCAGTGCTGACCCTTCCTCGTGCATTCCTGAAGGCCAGGGCGCTCACTGGGGTTGAACAGTGTGAGGCTGCACCTTGAAGGAGGAAATGAGAAACTGCCAGGAACTGAAAGCCAGAGGAGGCTATCAGACACTCTGAAGAGGCAAGAATGTTCGGGGGGGGGGGGGCACTTCCTTGGCATAAAAACTAAAGGACAACTTTGCCTGGAAGGTTTCAGGAACGATGTTTGGGAGCACTGACATGTCAGTAAACAAGAAATAGTTGGAGAATACCTGGGTATAGAATTTGAACGCTGCTGAATTTTTTTCAAATGATTGGGGATTTGCATCTAACCCTATCTTATGTCCATACATGTTCCCACCAAATACAGTATGGTTTTTTCTCCAGCAGTTCAAATTCTTTTGTGTGTGTGTGTGTGTGTGTGTGTGTGTGTGTGTGTGTATGTATGTTTTTCCTTTTTATCGGTATCCAGGATCGAACTTACGACTGCCTGCTTGCAAGGCAGGCTTTTGCCGCTGAGCTAAATCCCCAGCCCCTCAAATTCTTTTTCTAACTTCCCCTCTGGCTTTGTATGCCACTCCCCTGAAAGGCATGATTAGAGGCAGCAATGGCGGAGTGTAGCCGAAGCTTGGCTCAGGGATGAGACCGGTAGGAAATACAGCTGGAAGGGAAGGAAGGCCATACTGGCAAGGACTTCCATGTGTCCTAAGGAAATGGAAAACTTAAAAGGTGTTAGAATGGAAACGGGAAGATGGGGGTGTGTGCGAGACAGACAGCTTTGGTGGTAATAAAGAGTAATTATCCCCAAGTTTATTGATGATCAGAGAGGACAAGTGACTCATTCAGAATCACAGGAGGATAAGTGGGGCTCTCAGAAACTCAGGAGACCACCAGGCATAATAGCACATACCTGTGATTGCAGCACTTGGGAGGCTGAGGCAGGAGGCTCACCACCAAGTTCAGAGCTGGCCTGCATTACATAGTGAACTCAAGGCCACCCTGAACTACATAGCAAGACCCTAACTCTGGGGTCCCATTAAGGACATGGTTTTAGCTGTGTAATTAGTACAAAGACTTTTTTTACCTCTTACCCTGCCACACCTCTCACTCACTCCCCTCCCCTTATCCATGTGGCCCCCTGGGCAGGGCCAGAAGAACAAACATGAACTCCTGTTGCTAAGTAGATGGGCAGATGAATTAATATACAGACAGATACTACCAGAGACCTGGAAGTGCCTGGCTGCCCTTCCAGCCTGAGACCACAATCATGTCCATCCTATCCAGAGTAGGCAAGGAGAAATGCCGCCCAGTACTGGCCGGAGGTGGGGGCGGCTCTGCAGGCACACCCCTACAGCACTCCTTCCTGACAGAGGTGACCGACGTCTACGAGATGGAGGGGGGACTGCTGAATTTGCTCAATGACTTCCACTCTGGCAAGCTCCAGGCCTTTGGTGAGTCTTAGGGGCTGGGCAGAGAGGGGACTGGGTAGGACTGGATGTCCTGGTCTCTGTGGTGTGGCTGGGCTCCCAGGCCCCTCCAAAGGCTCAGACAGACATTGTCCAGGCAAAGAATGCTCCTTCGAGCAGCTGGAGCATGTTCGAGAGATGCAGGAGAAGCTGGCCCGACTGCACTTCAGCCTAGACGTTTGCAGGGAGGAGGAGGATGAGGAAGATGATGACGGAGTCACTGAGGGGCTACCAGAAGAACAGAAGAAGACGATGGCTGACCGCAACCTGGACCAGCTGCTTAGCAACGTGGGTGACAAAGCGGGTGCTTAGCCTTGGCTGGGGGGAGGGGGGGAAAACCTGGGGTGGGAGGAGATAAATTTGCCCAAAGCCATTCTTAGCTTCTGCTGAAAAGGAGGAGTTGCATGGATCTGAAAGTTTCGAGCCTGTCAGAAGGCCCCCAGAGGGAATTCAATCTGATAAAAACATTTCTTTCTGTTGACAGCTTGAAGATCTTAGTAATTCTATGTATCCTTTTGAAGGGAACTGACAGTGTGCCTGTGTTTCCCAGGACTAGGGAACCAGGGTGGGATGTCAGTTTCTTCTTTCCCATCTCCCTCCAGGGTTCTCATCCTCTCTCCATCCTTTGCAGTCTTCCTGACTCAGAAATGAGCACAAATGCCCTGACCTGGGCAGAGGAATATGGAAAGAATTTCACAAATATTTGGGGGCAAGAGGGTACAGGGAATACATTTTACCTATTGGTCAAATTGTCTCGTTACAAGTAGTACTTTAGCTGACACCAATCCCTGGCAAAGTTTATCAGATGTTCTCTTCCCTTTTCAGCATTCAGACAACTGCTTTTACTAATTTAGAATAAGTCCCCACCTACACTGTCACACTACAGCAACTACGGTCCACCAGCTTATTTGATCTGCATCCTCTGTATGAAAAGAGAAAGAGAGCATGCTTCTAATCTCAGCCCTTGGGAGGCTGAGGACCCATGGAGGATCGCCATGGGTTTGGGGCCAGCGTGGGCTACAAAATGAATTCAAGGGTCTCACTGCACTACACAATGAGATCCTGCTTCCAAAAAATTAAAAAAAAAATAAAACCAAAAAAATATATATAAAAGAGAGAAGAGGGTCAAGGGACTAGCAAGAAGGGCAGCTGAGTAGACTGGGGGTGTAGCTCAGTGGAAGCACCACACAGGCACAAAAAGAAGGATGGGTAAAGACTGCAACCTCAGACTATGCTGAGGTCTCGGTCGTCTGGGGAAGCCATGCCTGTGCAGGATGGGAAGACAGGTGTCAGGAAGGACTGGGATCCAAAGTTCACAATCCTTGACTGGCACAGACAGAAACTTCACCTGGCCGAGAACGCTGAGCCTGAGGAGCAGTCAGCTGCATAGATGTTGGACGCAAGCCCAGACTGCCTCTCATTTCTTTCAAAGTGACTTTTTATGGACTCGGGAGGGTATTCCACAGCCCCCCAGGTGCTATGGGGGAGGGGGGACTGGATGGAAGTAAAAGAGAAAGAAAGAAAAGCGGCTCTGCGTGCTCCTTTCCCTCCTCGCCTCTCTCCTGGAGACACCCTCGCGCGGCACAGTTGACTTAGAGGCTCCGCTCAGATAGGATTGGAAGCCCTCAGCTGCTCTAGATTTGGGAGTTGACGCGCTTGGCTGGAAGACGCCAACACTTGCCAGACCACGGTTGCCGTGGAGACGGGGGCGGAGTCCTGCGCCTGCGCACATTTTGGAAGGGCGCGCCTAATGACGCATCGCGCAAGCGCCCGAGAGCAGCCAGTTAGAGTCAGGATGGAGTCGGAATTGCTCCTTCGGAAGGTGACAACGCTGCAGGTTCGTTGAGGGACAGGCGGGCAATGCGCCCAGGGGTCTCGGTCTGCGACCTTCCAGCGAGATGAGGCTGTCACGGTCAATCCCATATACACGTGCGAAACTCTAGAGGTGCCGGCCCACCCCCACACTGAGGAATGAGAAGACCCACGGACTTTCCGGGGTAGAGCTGGAAGGCCCTTAAAGCCAGGGGCCGTCCAGGTCACAGCCCTCCCTTAAACTCCCAGAGCCTCGCCCGGCGTGGTGGCGCACACCTGTAACTCCAACACTCGGGAGCCTGAGGCAGGAGGATCACTGTGAGTTCGAGGCCATCCTTGGCTATATAAATGAGTTCAAGGCCAGCCTCCTTCACACAGTAGTGAAACCCTGCCTCAAAACAAAACAAAACCTCCCGGTGGTTCCGCGTGCACTGTCACTTGTTTTTTCTCCGTGGCTGGCCTCTCTTGCAGCCCCAGGGATGACCGACCCAAGAGGGCCCTTCTTAAAATGATTATGACTTTCTTTCTACACTTCAGGCCTGTGTCCGGGGCTTCTTGGTCCGACGCCGATTTCAGAGGCTGCGAGCTGAGTATGAGTCAATTGTACAGGAGATCGAGGGAGCACTGGGCACACTTCAGTGGAGTGCTGGCTGGATTCCCAGGCCCCAGTTTCTCCCAAAGGTATCATCACACACCCCGGGGGGAGAAGGGAGGGGAAGGATCTGGATAGGAGATTGAAGAGAATGGTAGATCCCACTCTTCTGATGACAAACATCTGTCCCTGAACGAGGCAGCAGACTTGTATCCTCACACCTCATTCGGTAATCCTGCCAACTATCCGCTAGACCATGGTGCCCAGATTCATAGACCTTTACCCACAGGGCTTCCATTCTTCTGTGATTTCTCAAAAGACAAAGACCCATTGCTCCTGGAAAGCAAGAAAGAAAGTACCAAGTCCACAGCAGGAACTACAGAACCACTGGGAGGAAATGGCACCGAAGAAATCAGGAACGACCTCAGCAAAGCCAGGAAGTCTTTGCAGAGATGACAGCTCTTGGCTTCAGGTTGAGCACAGCAGTAAAACCAGGAATCCCAGCCAAGAGGAGACCAGAGATGCATCAAGGACAGATAACCCAGGTACCTCTCTGGCTAGATCGGGGCAAGCCCCTGACCCTCTCCGGGCCTTAGCCTCCACATCTGAAAAGTTAAAGGAATGTGCTAGATAAGCTGCAGCCCCTTCCTCCTCTCTCTGCCTGGTTGGGGGAGACCCGTGGGTAGGCAGGCAGCAATAGGTCTAGCTCCTCTTTTCTTCCCTCCTTCAAAGAACCTGTAAGTCCAGGGCTGTCCCACAGCCATCAGGAGTTCAAGGAGCTCCAGTATCGCCGAAGCCACTTGGCCATGGAACTGCTATGGTTACAGCAGGCCATCAACAGCCGTAAGGAGGTAGGTGCTCACTGGGAACTCTCTGGGGAGGGTTGGGGAGGCCTCCTGCTGTGCTCAGCCCTGCACTGTGCAGCATCTCTTCTCTCCCAACAGTATCTAATTCTCAAACAAACACTGACATCCCCAGAAGCAAACCAGACCAGAGAGGCGCTCAGCCTGTGCCCAGACCATGGAGGACAGGCTTATGAGAAGGTGTGGCCACAACCAAACCCACTGCTGGAAGACAGGACCAGTGGAGAGCGAGACTTTCCAGATGACTCCTGTCAGAAGAGCAAATCACAACACTACAAGTCCCCAGAAAGTCTGGCCACTACCTACAAAACCAGGCCTGGAGCTAAAAGCAGGGAACCATGTCATAGGAAGGCTGGCCACAGCTGTCTCTATCATCAGATAGTCAGGCTGGAGGGGACAGGGTGACCACAGAGGGCAGACCTTCTTACAGCTGATAAAACTTCTGAAGGACCAGATCTGTAGGGCCATCAAACCTATAACCCCATTTCAGCCTCACTGTCAAAGAGGCCACAAGAGTTGCACCTATCAGAAGACCACATCATTTGAATGGGATGTTGGTTGGCCCAGAGTCTGGTCAGCTGGATCTCAGGATGACTGAATCACCCAGTGATAGAAGTTCCAGAGACACAATGTCCAATAAGCCTCATAAAGAGTGGGAAAACCATAAGACTACACTTTGGAGATCAAAGCTGCCTGAAATTCTGTCTTCCATGGGATAGATGAGACAAGAGAGGACCACTGGAGGGGCAGGATGTTGAAAACGGGACTCCCCAGGCTAGACCCTAAGGATCAGGCAAGGGACAGGTTCAGGGGGGGGGGGACGCTGTGAAGGGCAGTGGCGGAGGCAAGCCTGCATCCTGGTACCAGCTTTCCCTTCTGCCCCCACCCCCGGCCAGTAGTGGTTGGTAGAGCCAAGAGAGGCTGGACGACAGCAGGCATGAGTAGCAGGAAAAGGATAAAGGATACTTTTCCATCTTCTGCCTGAGACTCAGTCCAAATTTCAGGTTAAACAGTTACCTGGGGGAAGTAAAGTGAGAAACCTGGAGAATAAAGGTTTTTCATGGATTCCGAACCTGGCTGCTTTCATGTCCTGCCTCTGGGCTCTCCTATTCACTTCCTACTAGCATGGGGCATCATTCTCATGGCAGAGGAGCAGACTTAGCCATCTTTCTTGGGGAACAGCCCCCAAGCCAATCTCACTTTGAGCTCAGACTTGGGAATCAGAGTGGCTAAAGCTCTGGAGAGTTCTGAGACATCCATGTTTAAATGGGATCTGTGCTAGGCATGGTGGTACATGTCTTTAATCCCAGCACTTGGGAGGCTGAGGCAGGAGAATCGCTGTGAGTTCAAGGCCAGTTTGGACTACACAGTGAGTTCAAAGCTAGGCTGAACTATATATGTAGTGAGACTCTTGTCTCAAAAAAAAAAAAAAAAAAAAAAGTAAAAAGTAAAAGGGATCAGTCAGGCGTCCTGGCACACTTCTGTAATCCCAGCACTCAGGAGGCTAAGGCAGGAAGATCATTGTAAGTTTGAGACTAGCCTGGACTACAAAGTGAACCCAAGGGCACCTGAACCACATAGCAAGACCCTGTCTTAAAAAGACCAAAGGAAAAAAAGATCTCTGTGCTATGGCAGGTGCTGTGTACCTACAATTGCAGCAGTTGGGAGGCTGAGGTGGGAGGATCACTGAGAGTTTGAGGTCAGCCTGCACTACCTAGTAAGATCTTGCCTCAAAAAACAAAACTATAGTAAGCTGAAACCTAACCTTAACTAATTCATGTGAGCCCGAGTTCAAAAGTAAAAGAAAAAAAAAAGATCTCAGAGGCTGGGATTTGCTCAGTAGTGTAAACGCCTGCCTGCTGAGCTTGAGGTCCTGAGTTCAATACAAAAAAAAAAAAAAAAAAAAACGGATCTCCTCTCACTGAGCTGCTATAGGCTCTCTCTGCCTTCTGGGTGACAGAGCAGCATTCCATGTCTGGCTTGGCTCCCAGCCCAACCCAAAGTTGCCTGGCAACAGTTGTGCGACTCTGACTGAGGATACACTATGGCACATGCCAAGCCAACAGCCAAGAGGGTGGTGGTGTACCGGAATGGAGACCCCTTCTCCCCAGGCCGCCAGCTGGTGGTATCCCAACGGCGTTTCCCCACTATGGAGGCCTTCCTTTCTGAGGTAACCTCAACTGTGCAGGCCCCACGGGCCGTGCGTGCCCTCTACACACCTTGTGATGGCCACCCGGTCACAGACCTGGCAGACCTGCAGAATGGAGGGCAGTATGTGGCTGCTGGCTTTGAACGATTCCACAAGCTCCAGTGAGTCGGGTACTGCTGGCCCAGAGCCTGGGGTGGTGGGGAGCAGCAGCTACAGTGTCTTCTGTGCTTATGTGTAAATGCCAGGCTTCATACATTGCCTCCCTTGACCCAGCAGTGGGTTCATTTCCACTAGTCAGAAGGGAACACAGTGAAAACCTGCCGGTACATGCAATACACAGCTGAGCTGCAATTCAGGTTGAATTTTTTAAATTTTAATTTAATTAATTTATTTGAGATGAGATCTTGCAATGTAGTTCAGGCCAGTCTTGGAATTCACTGTGTAGCCCAGGCTAGCCTCGGACTGGCAGTGATCCTACCTCAGCCTCCCAAGGGCTGGAATTACAGGTGTGCACCACTATACCCAGCTCATACTGCATTCTGCCTGGTACTAACACTTAAAACTCATCACAGTCAGTGTCTGCCTGTGAGAAGGAAGTCACTCTCAGGTGGAACTTATTCCCAAAAGCTTTTTTTTTTTTTCTGGCCCCCGGGATCAAACTCACAACCTCAAACCTGCCAGGCAGGCCCTTGTGCTGCTGAGTAAATCCCCGGCCCTAAAGGCTCTTCTTGATTAATCCCCTACCATGACCATCACCAAACAGTCTCAATCTGCTGTCACTTCCCTTTCTCTGTTCAGGCAACCCAAATTCTCCTGCCAAACTAAGAGCACCTCCTCCATCTCGTGGGGTTGTCTGCCCAGATAGGAGTAGTTCAGGTTAACTGAGCCTTGAACCCAGATCTGGCATCCACCATCTATTGGGAGCTTTCGGCTAAAGTTGCCACTATGATGTTACGAGCAAGGCTTATAACCAGGCATGGTGGTGCACATCTGTAATCCCAGTGCTCGGAAGGCTGAAGCGGGAGGATCGTCGTGAGTTCGAGACCAGCCTGGGTTACAAAATGAGCTCAAGGCCAGTCTGAACTGCATAGCAAGACCCTGTTTCAAAAAGACAAAAAAATAGCTGGATGTTTAGCTCTGTGGCATAAGTGCCTGCCTTGCAAGTGCGAGGTTGTGAGTTTAATCCCTGGTACAAAAAAAAAAAAAAATCTGGAGCTAGCCATAGACAAAATGGAGATGAAATCACCAACTTTTTTGGGCATTTCACTCCAGTGGTAGAGCACTTGTCTGGCATGTGTGAGCTGTGTAGTTTAATTCTTACTACTGGCCCCCCAACAAATTTACCTAATGAAGGAGAAAATTCCTAAGGTGTGAGACATATAATGTACTCATTTCCCTTAGCCTTATCTCTGAGTCTGCAGACCTGCTTCCTGCCTGACCTAGCAGTTGAGAGGTTCTAAGAGAGGTTCAAGTGTTAGCATCTGTTTCTGGACTGAGAAGACTAAGGGACACTTCCAGTGGGGAGGGGTGCCTGGTGAGCCCCATACCCTGGCAATTAGTGGGCTGTTGATATGTATCTCAGGCTTCCCATGATGATGACCTGCCTGTCTTTCCAGCTATTTACCTCCTGCAGGGAAGAATCCTGGTGGGAAGAGCACCAGACTAAAAGTGAGTGCTGGAGAGGTCGTCCCCAGCCTTTCTGACTTCAGCCCTTCTTGGGAGTGCTGTGACATGCTCTGGGAAGTCAGGGGTCCTGGAAGCAGCGAGAGCTGCCAATTTCATGGAGCAGCCCAACCCAAGCCTCCTGCTAGCCTTCCTAGATTGGGATTTCAAGACACTGTCCCCTGCTCCTATGCCAGCCTTTCACTTTCTCTCCAGGCTTTTGTGTCCCCAAAGGAGAGGAAGTTGTGAAACACACATGGCGAAGGGGTGGTTAGAAAATGACTTAGCAAAAAAAAAAAAAAAAAAGAAAGGGGCTGGGGATTTAGCTCAGGAGCATAAGCACCTGCCTTGTTAAGCAGGCGGTCGTGAGTTCGATCCCTGGTTCCGATAACAACGAAAAAGACAAAAAAAAAAAAAAAAAAAAAAAAAAAGAAAAGAAAATGACTTAGCAGCCATTGGTGAAAGGTATGGCCAGTCTCATCCCTTTGTGCCCTTTCCTGCCCAGGTCTGGTTCCTACCTGCTCACCCCACACTCCTTAAACTGGCCCACCCCTAGCCAAAGACCTCAGCTCTCTCCTAATTTGGGGGCCTGACTTGGGTTTCAGGACTCTTCCATGACTCACCGGTGTGATGGGACCATCAGACAGTGGCTACCTGCAGGTGCCCCCTGCCATGTCCAGTGAGTACCAGTGTCAGGGAGCAGGGGTGCAGATTTCTGTTTGAGAAAAGAAAGTGGGGTTTGTCCCGTGGCTGTGGATGGTAAGATAAGCCCAACATGCTTGATGGGTGAAAATAGACCAGCACACTGATTCTTGGGCCACCCCTCATTACCACATTGCTCTTTGTCTTAGTGTGTTCAGGAATGGGGACCTGCTAAGTCCCCCATTTAGTCTGAAGCTGTCCCAGGCTGCCATCCAGGACTGGGAAACCGTGTTGAAGCTGCTGACTGAGAAAGCAAAGTTGCATAGTGGGGCTGTGCGCAAGTGAGTATGGGAACCGGATGGGCCCAGAAGTTCCTAAAGAGCTCCCCACTGCTGTCAGCTGTTCATGAAGGTAGAAGGAGGAAAGAATGTTCCCTCCAGTGGGATTTCTGCCTGCACCACAGGAAAAAGCCCTCTAGCCTAGCCCTCTGAGCTAGGGCAGAACCTGGGTACCTGGTACCCAGAGAGCCAGGGGCCAAGAGTTCCTCGGAGGAGCAGTGCCGACCTGTCACTGCCTGCTGGGTAAGAGGAGCCATCTTGTCCACCAGCCCTTATCCAGCTCACCTTTCTCCCAGGCTCTGTACCCTGGAGGGGCTTCCTCTGTCTGCAGGAAAGGCTCTGGTGAGCGGCCAGTACTATGTGGCTGTTGGAGAGGACGACTTCAAAGCCCTCCCCTATCTGGAGCTGCTGGTACCCAGCCCCTCTGTGCTCAGAGGCTGTTGGTACGTAGGTGGAAGGTGCGGGGTCACTGAACTAGTAGCAGAGGGAGCCACCCTGTGTTCTGCACGCCCTGACTCCCTATCATCCTCTGCCTACTACAAGCCTTTCCTTCTCTCATTGTAGGTACCCCCCAGACGGGAAACACAGACCTAGAAGGCAGGGGGTAGGTAATACAGGGGGCTATGGGTGTGGGACAGAGGAGGAGCAACTGGCTGAAAATTCTGATGGCTTGGGCTCTGGCCCTATCTCTGTATTCTCTCAGTAAGCCTGTGAAACACAGATGATCCCCATTTTCCAGAAGTGGAAACTGAAGCTCAAAAGACTAAAGTGATTTGTTTAGTGTGATACAGGTGTTGACAGAGGTGTTGAGTGCCACAGGCCAGACCAAAATTGTGATCTTCAGGATAAAGTCTAATGCTTACTGGCATAACTGGCATAGCAGTGCCAAGGGAACTCAGCTTACCATCCTCTTCTAGGCTTGAAGGGCTGGGGGTGTGGGTCACTGGTAGAACACTTGCCAGCCGAACATGTGGCAGGTGCTCATTTAATTCAGTACCAAAACAAAACAAAACAAAACACAGGTTAGGCGAGGTGGCACCTGCCTATAATCCCAAGTACTCAGGAGGCTGAGCAGAAGAATGGGCAATGTATCAAAACTTTGTCTCTAAAAATATAAATAGGGGCAGGGCTGGGGATTTAGCTTAGTGGCATAAGCACCTGCCTTGCAAGCAGGTGGTCATGAGTTCGATCCCTGGTACCGATTAAAAAAAAAAAAAAAAAAAAAAAAAATATATATATATATATATATATATATATGTATATATATGAAGGGATAAGAATGTGCTCAGTGTGAAGATCCTGGATTCAATCCCCAAATACCACACACACCAAAAAACAAAAAGAACAAATAACCATCTTGCAAGAGAAGAGCCAGTGAATGAAGGGGCATTGGGGTGGGGGCCCAGTCTGGCTTCATCAGCTCCAGGAACCAGGCACAAACAATTCTGTCCCTGGGCCATCAGTCTGACCAGAAAGAGCAGGGGAGGAGGACACGGGCCATGAAGATGAATGGTGCTGCCTCTCCTAAGGTCCCTCAGGCATCAAGGCACTAGGGAACAGGACAGGTATGAAGAGCCAGCAACCATGGCCCATGCCCACTATTCCTTCTGTAGGCCCAGGGCCACATGGCACAGGCAAGTGAGCTCTCTCCAAGGGAGCCAGAACGAACTGAGTCATCTGCTGTCTATGCCAGACCCCAACAGGCCATTCAGCCAAGAAGCAAGCTTCTCACTGTGTCATTGCCATCAGGTGAGGGACTCCAGGGCCACGGCCTCTCAGCCACCACCCTTTTTGCGTGTGTGATGGGGACTGAACCCAGGGCCTTGTGCATGCTAGGCAAGTACTTGCTCCACCTTAGCCACCTTCGGCAGTACCCAGGGTGATCACTATGGTTGTTGGGGAGGTTTGCGGAGGCAGACTGCCCAGACAAGAAGCCGGCTCTGACCTCAGAACTGTCTCCTGCTCCCCCGTTTGCATGTCCAGTTGCTTGCTTCTTCATGTGGACTTGTCCTGTGGAAAGGGCAGGGCTTATCTCAAAGGGATGAGGCTTCGGGGGCGGAATTCACAAGGGATGCCCTCTGATGAGGTAGTGGGAATGCAGAACAAGGCTGGCGGGGGAGGAGGGGCTGTTAGAGGACTTCAAGGGAAGAAGGCTGATGGCTCGTCAGCTTGGGCATCAGCATCAGCTGGTGTTGCCTCCCATACCAGGAGTTAAGGGAGTGTACAGGGCTCCCCATCCGAGGACAGAGACAGCAGGAGCCCAGGAAGTAGACAGTGAGGACCCGTGGACAGAGGAGCCCTTGGATCAGGTGAGCTGTCAACTCAGGAAGGCATACTTACAGATGGGAGTTCTGAGCTAGAGAGAAACTGGCAGTCCCTAGGAACAGGGTCCTGTCCCTTCCTTCTACCCCCAACCCTGTGACTGACCATAAACAGATCTGACATCTCAGAGCCCAACTTGCTACCTTGTTCAAAGAGGGAGTGGCTCCCAGTTTATCCAGTCTTTTTCTTTCCTATCTGGAACATACACATGGCTCCTTCCTCTGTGCTTCTCTACTTCCAGAGGGCAGTCCAGACAGAAGAGGCCCTGCCCTCTCAACAGCAGCGCGAGATGGGGGCGAGGACTGCATCCTCAGCCTCAATCTCTGCTCCACCACTCCAGAGCCAAAAGCTCCAGAGAAACCAGAGATGCCACTAGATAACCACCTTTATCCTCAGCCTCCAGCAGCCTGTCCTTGAGGAGCTGCACCTCCCCTGAGCTCCGAAGGGATGTGGGCACCTTGGCTTCTTTCTTTAGCCCACAGCCCAGACTTCCCTTCCTCTCCGAGCACAGCAGGCCCAGCTGTGGAGGCTTTTACCTTATAGAGTCTCTGGGCACAGAACGTAGTTGACTGAGTTTAGTAGAGAGGCCAAAATGTGATAAGTTTGCTAAAATAAAAACATACTTCCTAACCTCAGTCTGTTTAGTACAGATTTACTGAAGGCTGCTACTGGCCAGATGTTGCACTGGTGCTACATCAATTACATGGCACTGGGGCTCACAGTCGTCTGAGAGGGGTTGACAGTTGAGCATTTTCACCTAACTCAAGGATGACAGGCAGCTTCATTTCTCCTACCTGCCATTCTGATGCACCATCGTGCCCTCAGTTCCACCCCTCAGTTAGCCAAGGCACTGTGGCTGAGCCCTGGAGGTCTTTGGGTTCTATTTGTAACTCAGAGACGACACCTGGCCCTTTCCATGAAGGTGGACTCGGCATACCATGACAGTCTGAAGCAGGCCAGGTTGGTTGTGGCTGGGTGATGGTTAGCTGTGGTCTGAGATGTCCGCAAGGGCTGCTGGTGGAGAGGCTGCTGAGAGTTAAGTGTAAAGTCTCCCAGGCTAACTCCCAGCAACTGAGCACGGCTTGAAAGTTACAAAACTCCATCACTGCTGTTCTCTTTTTGTGATCCATGAGGTAGCTGTTATCTCCAGAAGAGATGAGGAAGCTAGGGCTCGAAGAGAACAAGAGCTGGTCCATCTGCTCGCTGCCTTCGCATCATGGCCCAGGGACTTCCCGGAGACAGCAGGGGTGGAGGTGGGATTGGTCCACTCAAAAGGTAGATGGCTGCCCCTGGGTTTTGTTCACTGAGCTCATGATGCACAGTGTAATTCCTGTCACGGTGAGTACCATGCCAGCAGCTGCTTCTGGGATAATGGGCAGACACAAAGCAGCTTTAAGCCCAGTCATGCCACGGGCAGGAACAGGTACAGGGCCAAGGGAAGGACTCAGATGGGCTCTGGCTCTGACTCTCACCCTGGCCTTTCCCCAGACACCCACCCATAGGAGGGGGAGGATTCGGGGAAAGAATAACCCAGATATGTTGAGACCCAAGCAGCTGCTTCGTGCATTCACAGTAGCCTAACTTACGTTTTCCACCAACATCTTCTCCAAGGAGCTTCCCAACAATCAATGTGAAGACAATGGCCAGAGAGTTGCAGATGGGCACAGCCAGAGTCAGATCTGGTGGTCAGAATAAGATCTCTAAGATGCAAAAAAAATGCCTTTCTGGGTACAAAATATTTTCATTTCATCCCTTCAGAAAAAGTATCATGATCCCATTTTCCAGATAGGACAGCAAAGCTCAGGACTGAACCCCAGGTCTCCTGACTCAAACTCAGTGCTTCCAGAGGATTCTGAGACCTTCTAGGTGTGATAGTAAGAATGAGGTCTTTGGCCTCCATGAGAACTCCTAAGATTTTAAGGACTTCTAAACAGACAGGCAGGCATCCCAGGCTCAGAGAATGAGTGCAGCAGTGCCAAGCACAGCCGTTCATTAAGTACACACTGCATGCTATCTATACATATTTGATTTTCACAACAAAACTACAAGGAGACTGTAAAGGAAACAAAGGCTCAAAAATCATATAACTTAAGGCAAATTGAGGGTTTAAACCAAGATCTGTACAAAAAATAGAAAAAAGAAAGCAAGTTCTGGCTGGGCATGGTGATATATGCCTGTCTCCCTGCACTTGGGAGACTGAGGCTGACATGTAAGTTTGAGACCAGCTACACAGTGAGTTCAAGGCCAGCCTGAACTACCACAGCAAGACACTGTCTCAAAACAAAACAAAACATACCCTCCAAGGTCTATCTTACTATAAAGCCTGGTCCCTTACTCAAATAATAATAAAGCAAAACATCAGCTAAAACACATTTTGTTTCTATCTCGGCTCAGGTTCTAACTTTTGGAGTTAAGGAAAAGAGAAATAGGGTGGCTGGGGATTTTGCTCAGCGGCATAAGTGCCTGCCTGGCAAGCACAAGGTCGTGAGTTCCATCCTTGTACCAAAAAAAAAAAAAAAAAAAAAAAAAAAAAAAAAGAGAGAAATAAAAATGTCCAAAGTAGGAGGCTACATACCAGTTCAGGACTTAGGGGTAGGCCTCAGATACAGGTCACTGTGGCCTAGGATCTGTTTCTTAGTTTCTGAATCTCCAAAGAACTGATTTTCAATAAGCAAAGTAAAAGAAATGGGCCAATGGAATTAACAACACAATATTGGAGGTGGAGTAGAAGAATTAAAAAAAAAAACAGAATTATATCCTTTGATTTGTCAAAGCCCGGGATATAGCTCAGTGGCACAGCACCTGCCTGGCAAGCACAAGGTCCTGAGTTTAATTCCCAATACCAATCAAAACAAAACAAAAAAATCAAGTATGCAGCCTGGTATAGTGGTGGAGCACTTGGGAGGCTGAGGCAGGACAACTGCTGGTAGAAGCTAGCCTGCTCTATAAAGTAAGTTCAAGGTTAATCTACACCGTATAGTGAGGCCTTAAAAAAGTCAGTATAGGGGCTGGGGATTTAGCTCAGCGGCATAAGCACCTGCCTTGCAAGCAGGCAGTTGTGAGTTCGATCCCTGGTACCGATAAAAACGAAAAAGACCAAAAAAAAGCCAGTATAGTGGCATACACCTATAATCTCAGAACTCTGGGAGACTGAGGTAGGAAGACCACAAGTTTGAGCCCAGCTAGGAAAATTTAATAAGATACTGTCTTAAATAAACTTAAAAATGGCTAGGAGTAGAGTGCAAAGGTCCTGGGTTTATTCAATACTCAGTGCTGCAAACAAAGAAAAAAACAAAGCTACTTGTTTGTAATGAGCCTCATAATTACAGGCAGACTGCCATGCCTCATCTGCTGGGCAGAGGAGGAGCCGGTCCTGTGCTTCACTTCCATGTTACCCATCCAATGACACAACACTCCTACCTACTCAGAGCAGTTTTCCTAATGTCATACCTATGTAGAATATCACAACTGCTAAGGACTGGTTTGCAACAGCAGATGAGGGAACAAGGGGCACAGTGGGATGCAAGAGCAGCACATTGCTTTCCCTATGTATCTGTGGTTAAATCATTGAAACCCACTGAGTCTGTTTCACCACATATAAAACAGTGATAGCAAACTACTACCTCCTTTGTAGGGCAGTTGTAAGGAGAATTATGATCATATATATATATATATATATATATATTACTTGGCTGAAGTACATATTTAATGAACAGTGAAGTGTTTTATCAGAAAAGAACGTTAAAGGACAGAGTCAGAGTAGCTAACAGGATTCAAACCTTGCAATTTTCTCAAAATTTATAAATGGTTAGCTACAGTAAATTTATTAAACCAGAGCCTTTCAAACTTCATTTTTCAGGGCTGGGGATTTAGCTCAGTGGCATGTGCGCCTACCTTGCAAGTGCTCGAGTGTAAGTTCAATCCCCAGTACTAATTTTTAAAAAAACCTTCGTTTTTCTTTCTTTTTTTGGGTATTTTTTGAGGCAAGTTTTCACTATATTTCAGGCTGGCCTTGAACTCACTTTGTAGCCCAGGCTGGCCTCAAATTTGTTGTAATTCTTTTGTAATCCTTAGCGCAGGGATTACAGATGTGTGCCCCTATGCCCAGGCTGTTCTTTTTGTTTGTTTGTTTGGCTTTTTGAGACAAGGTCTCTCTCTATAGTACAGGCTAGCCTAGAACTCAGCAATCCTTGTGCCTCAGTCTCCCAAGTGTTGGGATTACAGGCGTGTGCCACCATACCTGGTTTCAATTTTTTTTCTTGTAGTACTAAGGATTGATCCTGGGGCCTCATACATGCCAGGCACTGAGCTACATCTTCAGCCCTTTTATTTTTTTTATTTTAAGAAGGGTCTCATTGGGGCTTGGGGATTTAGCTCATTGGCGTAAGTGCCTGCCTGGCAAGCACTAGGTCATGAGTTCAATCCAATGCTCCAAAAAAAAAGAAGGGTCTCACTAAATTACTAGGCTGGCTTTGAATTTTGGATTCTCTTGCTTTGGCCTGCTTAACAGCTGGAATTATAGGAAAGTGTCACCACACTCAGCTTTAAATTCTCTATAGTCTTATGAGAAGCCCCAAATGTAAATCATATAAAAGCAGAGAGACTAGTTGAAACTCAGGTGGCAGATCTGGAGGCCATCTTGTCACCTTCTCTTCCTATGGCTTCTGAGCTGTTCCCCCGAGCTATCTGGAGCCCAAACTTCCATCAGGTTCCCTGAAGATCTTGATTCCAGGGGAGGCAAAACCAGTAAATTTTAAGAGTCTAAACTGTTTATTTTTATTTTTTTGAGGCAAGATCTTGTTATGTAGCCCAGGCCAGCCTCAAACTGGCAGGGATCCTACTGCCTCAGCCTCTTGAGTGCTAGGAATACAGGGATGTGCCATCATGCCCATTTCAAGAGCATAAACTTTAAAAAAAAATTCTTTTGTACTGACTTAAGAGAGATGAAGTTTTCTAAGTTCATTTCCATGTGTGTGTGCATGTGTGTGTGGTACTGGGGACTGAACCCAGGGTCTTCATACTGAGCTACATCCCAGCCCTTTTTATTTTTTATTTTGAGTTAGGATCTTACTAAATTGCTATGCTGCCCAGGCTGGGCTCCAACTCTTGATCCTCCTGCCTCAGCCTCCAGAGTGCTGGAGTTACAGGCCTCTGTAAAGTCAACTCTTAAATGAAGATAATTATCTGTGATTTACAGGGTTATGCTGGGAATTCAATATGTCACACTAACACAGTATCTGATGCAGTTAAGGACAATCAATAAACATGGAGAAAAAAATGTGGGGAGAAAAATTTATTGACTTCCTACTGTGGGCCAGGTGCTCTGCTGGATGCTTCTCATATAATGTTTAATCTTCACAGTGCTACAAAACTAACACTATATAACCAAGGTTCAAAAAATGAGTTTTCTAAAAAAAAAAAAAAAAAAAAAAATGAGTTTGTTCTAGGTCAGGCAAGTACCATACAGTATAAGTTAAAGTACTAAAACCAGGGCTGGGGGTTTAGCTCAGCGGCATAAGCGCCTGCCTTGAAAGCAGGCAGTTGTGAGTTCAATCCCCATACCAACAAAAAGGAAAAAGACAAAAAATAAAAATAAAAATAAATAAAGTACTAAAACCAGCACTTTGTGCAGCAAAATGCGTCTCTGCTGATGTACAATTACTGGCAGGCTCCAGGCCAGCCTGGCATCATACTCAAAACCTGCCCAGCATGTGCTTGTGACTCAGAAAAGAAGATACAGAGAAAAAGCTAGGGCTGTGGATGTAGCTCGGTGGGAGAGTGCTTATGCAGTGTGGTTTAATCCTCAGCATGGAAAACAAAACAAAGCACAGAGGGAACTAGAAAGGGCCCAGGTGCTGTTTCTTTCCTACTGACAGAAACAAGGTGTTTCATGCTCCCTCTCCAAAATGAAAGCAGCATAAAGCTAGAGACCCACCTGTGGATGCCAAGGTGAGGTAGTAGAGAAGGGAGCCACACTGGTTGAGCAGAAAGGGCATCAGGTACTGGAAATGGGAGAAATCGGGGTCAGTGTGATTGTTTGACGGAGCAGCACTACCTTTTTTGAGCTTAAGAATATGCCTTTCTTTGGAGGGAGCTATAGGTGTAAGTGCCTAAGGAACACTAAGCCCTCTGAGGACCCTTCCAGGACAAAGAGAAACAGACCTTTGCCTTAAACACCCTCTCCCTCAACTCAGCTAGTTCCCATCTTCTCATTCTATGAGAAGGCAATCTTCTCATTGCCTCTAAAGGAAGCCTGCCCCAAGCCCCCTAAGACCAGCTTGCCTCCACTGAACTCTCACAGCACTTACCTGTTCCTCTTTCCTTTCCTTTAACCCTGGAAGTAGCTACATCCATATCTGGCCTTTCCCAACTGATCAGACTTGGGATCAAAGGCAAATGTCTTCCTCTGGAAAGGCCCTGAATACAGTATAATCTGAGGGATCACAATACGTAAATATTCAGAGTAGCCATAGATGGAGACTTATGATGAACCAGTGAACTAGGCCCAATGGTAAGGTTTTTTTGAGACAGGTTTTCACTATGTAGTTCAGGCTGGCCTCAAACTCTCAGTGCTCCTCCCCGCCAAAACCTGGGCTCCTGCCTCAGCCTTCCGCGTGCTAGGATGGCAAGTGTGTGGCACTTTGCCTGACTTCGTAAATGCCATACAAGATACTGTAATTTTCATTTTATAGATGATAAAACCAAGATTCCCAGAAGATTAATACCTCATTCCTCCCAGAGCTTTTAGTAAATTTTGACCCAGACTCCAGGAAACAAATGCTTTGCAGCTACTCCTCTGAGGGAGTAGTTCACAGACAAACCTCAGTATTCAAGAAAAGGGTCTTCATCTCCTGCAGCAACTGTCGGGCCCAGTTCCGCTCCTGCACCTCCTGTAGGCCAGCGGAGGCCCGCTTCAGCAGCGGCTGCGTGCCACCCCACAAGGCGGCGACCAGCACCAGAGCCAGCACTTGTCCTGAATGCACAGATGGAGATTCCAGTCATCCTGACCCCACCTCCTGCCCTCCATCCCAAACGGCAGCCCGCTCAGCCTCGCCCTCCTCTAGCTCCAGCTAGCTGCTCCTTCTCTGACCGACTCCCCGGCTGCTCTCGGTGGGGAGGACAGACTCTGGGCGGTTGGGGAGATGAATCCAGGAGCCCAGGTTTTGGCGGGGAGGAGCAAGGACAGTAGAAATTGAATTGGGGGTGGGGCGGGGCCAGCTACCCACCCAGAGACGCCGCCATGGCGACACCGCTCGCTTCTACTTCCGGAAAGGAGGGGGCGGATCCTACGACCCGGAAGTGGCCCGAAAGCTTTTTCCGGTTCCACTCACGTTGCGGCTCTTCTGGCATCAAAACCGAGATGGTGAGTTCCAGAGTTGAGAGTATTGTGGTAGGGGTCCCGGAACGCTGCAGGGGCCCAGTTCCGGACACTGACATTCCTGTCCTGTCCCCACAGAAGCCGATACTGCTGCAGGGCCATGAGCGGTCCATTACGCAGATTAAGTATAACCGCGAGGGAGACCTCCTCTTCACCGTGGCCAAAGACCCTGTGAGAGTTGGCGTGAGGGCGGGCGGGACAGACGGAGGGGGCGCGGGGTGGGCCAGTGCGTTCTGCCAGGACGGTGGGTGGTACAAGCCAGTTTTTTTTGTTTTTGTTTTTTTTTTTTTTTTTTTGGTACAAGCCAGTTTTGCCCGCTGAGGGTAAGCTAAGGACATCTCAACTTGAAAAGTTAGAAAGGACTATCAGCGAGAGCATTCTATCCAGGAAAGGTGGAAAGTTAATTGGATTGTTGGGAAGAAGGAGTAGCCAGGAAGAAGCAAAACAGGAGACCATTGTGGAACGGGGATAGGCACGAGAGTCGGTGTCTTCAAGTGACCAAGGCCGATTCCTGGGAACTAAACCATTCTACCAAGATAAGAGAACAGATTACTTCTAGTAGGGTAAAACAGACTTTGCCATTAGGACCTGGGGGAGAGGCTGGAGATGGGGCCCCCAGGCGGAGCTGGTGCTTAGCATGCTTGAGGCCCTGGGTTCAATCCCCAGGGTCAAAAATACAAGAAAAAAAGGCACAGAGGATTTAATGAGGATCTGCCTAGTCTCAGTCCAGTCATAAATGCAAGGTCCTTCACGATACAGCCTTTTGAGGTACAGCCTTCGGAGGCTGTTACCTAGTGATTAATAGTGGGGATTTGAAGTCAGACTTGATTTGACTTCTGACTCCTTCTGACTCCTACATCCACTAATCATGTGACTTGGAGCATGTCATTTAATCTTTTTTTAGTTCCCAGTTTATAAAGCCATGGGTACCCAAAGTACCCACCCAGGACAGTAATATTTATAGTATCCCCCTTAACAAGATGAGATACTTTTTCTAAGAAGCTTAGCACAGTATGTGCGTCTAATTAAGGTTAGACACTTACATTTTTAATTCCTTAGATACAATTTTGTTGGTGCCTCACAGCTGTCCCTTGAAAGATGGGCTTACTGCCTTGGCCATTTTTGTGGTGATAGTGCTATGGATTGAACCCAGGGTCTCACACATGCCAGGCAGCTACTTTACCTCTGAGCTACATCTCCAGCCCGTGTTTGCTGGCCATTTTAAAAGTGGGGAAGCTGCTGGGTGTGGTGGTGCACATCTGTAATGCCAGTGTTTGGAAAGCTGAAGCAGAATTGGGGAGAGTTCAAGGCTGACCTGGGCTACACAGGCAGCTCAAGGACAACCTTAATACATCTCAAAAAAACTAAAACCCGTGAAGACAAGAAAGGTGAAGTGTAGAGGAGAGAGGTGCCATAGTTGAGGTTATTTAATGAGATAGTGATAGCAAGCATAGGAACCCAGACTTTCTTACTACCAATTCCTCTCACTTGGGTAGGACACCAAAGCTACTAATTTCTGGGCTAGAGAGTAACTTCACCTTTTATTCTTCTGAGAGTGTGAGTCTCTGGAAGGGTTAGGTTGATGAATAAGGATGCCTTTGCAAGCCTGACTCCTCTACTACTTACTTCAAGAAAGTAGGAGAATCCAGTAGCTGATCTTTTTATCAGCTCTCTTGCCCAATTCATGTGTAGAGGTAAGCAGAATTAGCTTGGCTAGAGACTGCAAAGGGTTCCTAGGGCAAACTAGGCGGCCATTGCTCTTCCTGGGATGTAAACTATCTTGTCATTTGACTCTATAGATTGTTAATGTATGGTACTCTGTGAATGGCGAAAGGCTGGGCACATACATGGGCCACACCGGAGCTGTGTGGTGTGTGGATGCTGATTGTATCCTTGTTTTTGCTCTGAGTCTGTGCTGTAGGGTCTGCAGCTATGGAGGTACTGAGTTGGAGGTTGGGAGTTTGTGATGCTCTTGTGGGTCTAGAGGACAATACTACGTCCTACTGTCAGTTTCTTCACTGACTGGGAAACATTCAGGACAAGTTCCAGTTCTGGATGAGGAATATAAAATTCTCTGAGGTAAGAGAGAGGAAGGTCTTTGGGGCTGGATTGTGAGATGATCTGATTGGCTTCCCAAGAGGGTAAGGGTCCAGGTGAATCTAGTCATATTCCTTAACATCCACTCTAGGGGACACCAAGCATGTCCTCACTGGCTCAGCTGACAACAGTTGTCGTCTCTGGGACTGTGAAACAGGTAAGCCTAGGCCATTTTTCAGCAAAAACTTGACTACCTACAGTATACCTATCTAAGGAAATAGGTTCTGGTGAGTTGGAGGTAAATCCAGGCTAGAGAATATAAGACAATAAGGAAAGTCAATGACATAAGTAGTGTTGCAGTAGGATAATAAGCATAGAGTATTGTGGAAGCCGGAACTGGGCAACTGCTTGCCTGAGACAGAGGTAGAAGCAGCCTGGAAAGATTTCCCAAGGCAAGTGTCATATGAGCGGGGGCATAAAGAAACAAAGATGTCACCACTTTGGCACATGCTGGAATAAAAATGTGGAGAGTATTGTATTCTACTTCTTTGGTGTGGAATAGTTAGCCCGTAGAGAAGATAAGGCAGGAAAATCGGGCTAGGCGAGAGCAGGCCTTGAATGCCCAACTCAGTAGCTTGGCTTTGTTGTGTAGCATGCCCTGGAGGTGCCTTAGCAGGGAAGAGCAGTAGTCTGGTTAGTTTTAGCAAGGTCCAGAAGCAGTGGAGGAGCTGGTGCAAAGACAGAAAGCCTTTGAAGCCAATCCGTCAGTAAATATTTAGTGGGATTCCAGTTCTATGTTGGCACTAGAGTCATGCAGAGAAATCTGACTAGCTTCTGGCTATAGAGGAGCAAAGTCTAAGGGGGAGAGATAGGTCCACTTGCAACAGTGGCACATTCACAGGCTGTCGAAGGAGGGACTGTGGGGAAAAGACTTGAGCCAAAGCACAGCAGAGAGTGGTGGACTGGAGTCACTAGACAGGAGAGACTGAATTGTGATGATAGGCAGGTGTCATGTCCTCTCCATGGGGACAGTGAACCAGGGATATCCCAGACTCTGCCTGTCTCCAGGGAAGCAGCTGGCCCTCCTCAAGACCAACTCAGCTGTGCGGACCTGCGGTTTTGACTTTGGGGGCAACATCATCATGTTCTCCACGGACAAACAGATGGGCTACCAGTGCTTTGTGAGCTTCTTTGACCTGCGAGATCCAAGCCAGATTGGTGAGGGCTGGGGCCAGGACTGGGGTTGAGGAAAAGTGTACAGTCCTGGAGACCAGGGTCTGACATCTGCCGCCCCATGCAGACAGCAATGAGCCCTACATGAAGATTCCTTGCAATGACTCCAAGATCACCAGTGCTGTGTGGGGCCCCCTGGGAGAATGCATCATTGCAGGCCATGAGAGTGGAGAGCTCAATCAGTATAGTGCCAAGGTAAGCAGGGCCTGAGTCCACCAGAGTGGCTCCTTAAAAAAGGCAGGCTGCCTCCGTGGCTAGGAACAGGGTTTCACCACTTTCTTGGTTATATGTTGTAGCTATGTGATATTGGTAAGTTATGTACCTTCCCTGAGCCTGTTTATCTATAAAATGTCTCAAGGATCAGGGCTGGGGATGTAGCTTAGCAGCACATTGCCTGCCTGGCAAGCATGAGGCCCTGAGTTTAGTTCTTGTTACCAAAAATAAATAAAATATATCAAGGGTCAAATGACATTAGATGCTTGAAAAACTACACAAAGCAGGGGCTGGAGGTTTAGCTCAGTGGCTAAGTGCCTGCCTGGTAAGCACAAGGTTGTGAGTTCAATCCCAGGTTCCATTAAAAAAAAAAACTGCGGGGCTGGGGATTTAGCTCAGTGGCATAAGCACCTTCCTTGCAAGCAGGCAGTCGTGAGTTCAATCCCTGGTACCGATAAAAACGAAAAAAGACCAATAACAGAAAACAAAAAAAAAATCTGCACAAAGCAATCAGGACATGCTTTGTTCTGTTTTTCATGTTGTTTGAGACAAAGTCTTGCCATGTAGTTCAGATTGGCCTTGAACTCATTATTTAGACAGGCCTCATTTGTGGTGGTCCTCCTGCCTCAGCCTCCTGAGTACTGGGATTACAAGCATGCACCGCCACGTCCAGCTTTGGACATGTTAATAATGAGCACAAATCACTTTTCTGCCACCAGAGAACCAGCTCCAGTGATAGGCTCCTATGATGGCACAAGACTATAATCCCAGCACCTGGGAGGCTGAGGCAGGAGGATCCCTGTGAGTTCAAGACTAACCTGGGCTACATTCAGGCCAGCCTTCCGGAAGCATACATAGGAAGACCCTGTTTCAAAACAAAACGAAAAAGGGCTGGGGATTTAGCTCAGCAGCATAAGTGCCTGCCTTGCAAGTACGTGGTCGTGAGTTCGATCCCTGGTACCGATAAAAACAACAACAACAACAAAAAACGAAGGATCAATATATGGTCCAAGGGGACACAGATATGCAGATAGCACATAAGTCAGATTGTGAATTGTGCCACCATGGAGGCCTCAGCCAAATATTGGAGGTGCACTGTGTCACAGGGAGTAGCAATAAAGATTCAAGCAGAAAGGGTACAATATTCCACAGGCAAAAGGAGAAGCAAAAACAGAGATCCGGAGTTAAGGAAGTATTCTTGTAGTATTCAAGAATTCTCAGGATGAGTCAGACGTGTGGCACATAACTGTAATCCTAGCACTCTGGAGGCTGAGGTTGGAG